CTGGCGAGGGTATGATACTGCAGTATTGGGCAAAGGACTACTACAACAACTACCATCTGGTGTTGAGCTTAATGACCGGAAACTGTCCCACCTACCGAGGAACGTGAGATACTCGAGTGGATTCATAAAGAATGGTAACTACTATACGTAGTTTTAGACTCCGCAACAGCAAACCCTACACGCTAGGCACCCTTAACAGTAAAGGCAGCAGACACGCACGAACCCGTACCAAACAGCTTAAAAGCCTAAATTGTCAGCAGTTCTTAACTTGCTGACAAGCGAGAAGCAGTCAACAACGGCAAAATTCTGAAAAAAACTGGTACAATGTATTGAATAAATAAGTACTCAATTTTCGATCTCCATCCAATTCCCATGTAGCGTACGGAGACTCCATAAAGATGAAAGAAAACACAATACTCGGGCAGAATGTACATTCAGCACAGAGAAGGCGTCTGGGCTATCGAAACAGCCCAAGGGCCAGCCCACCCAGCGAGGTAGAGGAGGGCTAATTCGAGGTACAAAAGTGGCGCCTCACCAATACCGAGGAATAGACCGCTATCAAGTAAGTTATTGCAGCAATAAAGAAGCAAAAAGCAATTATAAAACCTAGTGTACGTACTGCGCCACGTCAATACATTATTGTGCCAGTTTATCCAAAATGAGTGAGAGAATAGTGTCATTTACGAGGTATGAAATTGCATCCTGATTGCTGCCCATTTTTCGCACTCTCTCACGCATATTGCTTCGTTATTAGTTGTGACTGCATACTTGTCTTTGTGAGAATAAGTAAATTTTTTCAGTTAATTTGCGGCTTATTTAACGTTTCAATATTTTGTTTAATAATAGGAGTGCGCCACCTTGATTAAGCTGATGTTTCCCATGCGACTAGCCCATCATATCAATACTGAAGTGGCTTCGTTTTACTGCCGGTGAATGGTAGCAAGTGGAGCTATTGTGTGTCAAAAATGGACTGCTCCAGAAACTATATTTTTTTGAACTTAATTATAGCCTACTTGTTGCATCCCACCATTGGAGCAACCCCATGTCAGTTGGCTAGAAATTGCCAGGAATGTATGGGCCGTGGTCCTACTTGTTCTTGGTGCTTTGATAGTGAATACGATGATACAGCTGAAGGTCCAGGTTATCGTTGTGATGAACGTAATATTCTGTTGGAAAGAAATTGTCCCGCTGGCAAGATTGAGAGTCAAAACTCAACCATTGTTGATGGTACGTTCACTGATATACATTGCTCTAAAAACACCGCCCATTATCCCTCGCACTCGGCTGTTTTGTTGTAGCTGGTGTTCAAGGCGGTGACGCACAGTTGATGCCTCCGCGCCAAAAGGTGTCTGTTCGTCCCCATGATAGTTTTAAAATTGATTTCACCTTCCAATCGAAAACCGACTACCCTGTGGACATCTACTTTCTCGTCGACCAAAGCTATACTATGCGTGACGACTTGGAAACGGTCTCTCGACTCACTAAAGACATTGCCAACTCATTCACAGTCGTTACCAAGGATCTTCGAATGGGTTTCGGGGCATTTGTTGATAAACCGGTTTTTCCCTTCATCGTGCCCACTCCTGAGGCACAAGTTAATCCTTGTCTCTATGGTGTCGGTAATCAAGATCTTCAGTGTGACCCACCTTTCCTCTACAAACACATTCTCTCTCTGACTAGCGATTTTGCCGAGTTTGAACAAAAGACTATTCTCTCGCGTGTAAGATTACAAAGCTAGTTTTCTCACGAATTTCCGTAAAAAATTATTTTATTCTCCTGATGCCCGGTTTTCCTAGCCGTCAGGGAATTTGGATAGTCCAGAAGGTGGGCTGGATGCTCTCCTCCAGGTCGCTCGATGTCCTGAATACATTGGATGGCGTAAAAATGCGCGTAAAATCGTTCTCTTCGCAACTGATGGAGGTTTTCATTTGGCTGGAGATGGTCGCCTCGCAGGACTGATTAAACCACCACCCAAGACGTGCCAGCTCACCTACGAACTGGATAGATTCAATAAGTCGTTGGTGTACCTTGGATGGCACAATTCTGTGGAAACGGATTATCCCAGTGTTGGAGAGGTATTGCCTAGTCAGGAGGAGTTTTATTTCAATTTTCGATCCTGTTGGGCTCGCATGGCCGCTTCTGAAATTCATTGTTTGAGAAGATGTGTGTGGCATCACCTCTTTTCATGAGTTTATGTTCTGAATTCCCTTTTGTCTGAATTCGTCGACTTTGGGGATTTGTTTTTGTTCTAGCATTGTTGATCTGGTTTTGCTAAACCCATGCATTTGCTGCTAGAAGTTGTAGTTATTAGGTTGTCGTATCCATAGCCTTGGTTAAGGTTGCTTGATTGATTCCTTGTGACAATCGACCAACACATTTTTTACCCTGCTGAGTCATTGTTTATGCACGAAAGAATATTGTCATTCGTCTTGATTTTGCTGCTCGATCACAGGTTGTTTAGTTCTCTACTGCCTGGTCTTTGATCAATCATGCATTAGCTCAGTCTCACATTAGCTGCCTTATGATTTCTCATAGGCAAAGGAAGGAGAGTTATTTATCTCAGCGTTAGCATTTTCTCGCTAGTCGGTACCAAAGTCTGAATGGGGGATTGATGGCAATAGTATTTGCACGATTCCAGGAGGCGATTTAGCGTCTGAAACTCTCATCTTCAACCACTGTATGTGAGGAACTAATGAACACACTTCGGTGATTATTTTCTTGAATTCATTCCCAATTCCTGACCAGATATTTGTGCAACACGACCAATTGAGTATGCATTATCCTTCCAGAGAATTGGTTGTTGTCAACTTTGCAAATGTTCATCTTCGTGATGAATCATCAACTTGGATGGCTTATTTGCATCCCAAACTGAAATCACCTGCTACGATTTCCTAAACTGTAGCCGTAACTCGTTTAGTTGTTTGCTCTGTCGTGGTTTTTCAGTCTGAAAGATAATCGCATCCAGTGATACTGATGCTTCACTATCACGAAAAGGCCAGTCAAATGAAGCGAAGGATGATAGCTAGGCTGGCACTCATTAACGCCTATAACTATGACATATTTAACATTCAATTGCCAACTCTTTTGTCCCTTCCCAGGTTGCGGAGGTGCTTACAGAGAGGGATATCAGTGTCATCTTCGCCATTGATGCAAAGGTATTCCCTCTCTACGAGAAGCTGGCCGCCTTCTTGCCTTCTGCGGCCGTGGGCACTCTCACCGACAGCTCCACCAACATCGTTAACTTGCTGCGTGAGAATTATGACAAAATCGCCAACCGAGCCGAACTCATCCTCTCTTACGACACGGACTCTCTCGAGGTGGGTGCTCTTTGATTATATTCGGTCCTTCCTTTGTAAAGTGGGTGCATCATTTCTTTTTTTTGATTAGCATTTATGATTCGCTTGGGCTCTGGTGCCTTTTGGCTGTTCATTGACTTGACAAATTCATTCTTTCAAACCAGTTGAAGTTTGGCAACTTTTAGGGCTAGCAGTTACAGTGGATGTACTCTTGTCTATTCTCTCTGCGAATTCGTTTTATTATTAAATTGGCCAGCTGCAACCGGTATTTTGCCGCATTAATGCATCGTTTCCCACTTTTTAATCGCCAATATCAATCCTCTGCCTAACCTGTTATCACTAGCTGTCATAGGCTCACTTAGAGTCATTTGTGGTTTGCCTTCGAAGCGGATGCACCGTTTTTTTCCTTGTAATCATCACCTCGTTCGGTGTTTTTTGAGTTGCTGGGCGGATTTGTTAATGAATTAATTTGTTTTGAGGCTTTACCAGGCTTTTCAGTGGTCTGCTGATATCATTTTCTTCCATCACTCGTGGTCTACTGTCCGGTTTTTTGACGTTGCTAATTGCAGCCTCTATATTCTCTTCCCATTGTAATGTTTACGCCTGGGTGAGATTCTCGTCACAGCTCTTGTGGGCACGTTCTAGTCTGTCAGATCGGCGGTGTGATTATTTACCTAACAGCTTCAAATGAGTGCTTTTTGAACCTTTAGATAACTCACCCAATATTTTACGGCTATTACTCATAGTTGATCCGCCTTTTTCAGTGTTAATTATAGTAGCTACACCCCTATCCCCTTTGCATCTTCAACCTTCATTGAACGTAACCGAACGTCACGATTAGCATTTTGCTGTCAGAGGTTTTCAGGTGGTGCAAAAACTTGACTAATGTATACTTAATCGCCATCATCCCAGTGATTGGTTTTTTAAAAACTTTTATTTCCATTCTGTGTGCTCTACAAAGGGATTGGAAGGAATTGGTTGAAAATTGTTTTGTTGGTCTCAGGGTATGAAAAGCTCCTGAAGCATTTTAATGCGTAACTTACTACGCAATTTTACTCGTCAAAGCCTCAGGTGCTATGGTTGCGTTGACCCCTTTTGCTCCAGACCTTATCAATCCCTCTTGTTCTGTTACACCAAAGAAACGTATTTGATAAACTTGGAAGACTTTCGGTTCCTGTTGGATCAGCGCTAGGTCTGATTACTTGTCTGTTTTCCTGTGCCGTGGTACGCACCTTGGGTCTGTCCTTCCTGTCTTCCAATCCCTTCGGTGGCTTCATTTCAGCATATAGTAGAATTTACCCAACTTCCCGACAAAGTCATTTTTGATTGATTTGATTAGAGTTTCACAATCCGCTCTCCGTTAAGTACAGCTGCTTTGTTCCGTCAAAGTGTGGTTTCAGCGAATAAGTTCATCGTTTTCGCTATGCCACTTTAACAATTGATTTTGCTCGTACCCGGATGCTGCATCACAACAGTCGACGCCATTCGCTGTTTTTATGGAACCGTTTAGACAGCAGTTGTGTGCTAATTCCAATTTTGTCGAGCGTGAAGGGATGATTTCATGTGAGGTTACCTGTGTGTTTTCCACCTTGCACCTCACTCTTGGCGCTTGTTACATGTGGGCTGTGACCTAACATGAAAGAAGAAAGAACATGTGTTCTCTTTCTGCTCCGTTCGCTTCACTTTTTTTGTCCATCAGATGAGGCCATTTAATAGCAATTTGCATTTGGACAACCTGGCAGTGGCTGTAGTCCTGTCTGCATTTAGCGTCCCAAGTCATACATGAGGGCATTGTAAGTTCCATCACTGTGACGAGTTGTTAGTAATCTAGAGAAGCGTTGAGAGACTATTTAAATAGGTACAGTATCGCAGAGGCTAAAGAAACCGTTGTTGCTTAAGTGTTGTTGTTGGCTCACATCACTTTTAGGTTGAAATTCTCGCCAAGTGCCAGGGCGAAACGGAGTTTACGAAGAAGACGGTGTGCAAGGAACATCCTGTTGGTGGGAAAATTGAATATCGGGTCTCTGTAACTCCCACTCGATGCTTTTCTGGCAAGAAGGAGGTGATTCTCAAAATGGTGGCCTTGGAGGAACAGGTTAGTAACAACCCATGCAAAGGCTGAAATAACTGTCTCCGTAGTACGCGAATTACACTTGAAGACGTCACTTTTTTCACTTCAATCTAGTCAACTAGTTGATTTTTGAATGGTCTCTTCTCTCCCCACAAATCAGGCCATGCTGGAAGTTACCTCCGCATGCCACTGCCCCGCCTGCGGCACCCCAACGGCCTCCTATCCAACCTCGCCACGTTGTCAATATCACGGTTACCTGTTGTGCGGTGCCTGCGTCTGCGCCCCTCAGTACTCGGGCGAGTTCTGCGAGTGCTCTGCGGAGTCCTCGCAGCAGGAGGAGATCATGTTGCAGCAGTGCACGCGTCCAGGGGACGATGTAGTGAGTTGATTTGCCTCTCTCATCACCCTCGACACCGAGATTGCACTACGGTTAGCGTCTTTACTGTATTAATGAGGGATAATTTGTAACGGGAGGAAAGACATCGTAGTTTAATTGTATTGGACCAATTTTGAGTGTTTCTCTCCTTCTGTTCCTTTCCCCCCTAGCCCTGTTCTGACCGTGGACGCTGCGTCTGCGGCCGATGCAAGTGCAACCTGGCACGCTATATGGGTCTCTACTGTGAATGCGACCGCCACGGCTGTAAACGCGCCTTCGACGACAACCAGGTGTGCGGTGGGCCGCAGCGTGGGGAATGCCAGTGTGATGGAACTTGCAAATGCAAACCTGGCTACACCGGTGAACGTTGTGACTGCATCGACAGCAATGCCAACTGCTACGATCCCAACAACCCCGATGTGAGTTCTCCTGCCCTATCTAACCCTTGCAGCCTGTTGATGCGGTGCTCGAGTTAGCCCTTGGGGACATCATAACGCCATCAGATCTCTTTTACTTGAGCGTATCAAAATCTCGCACAAGACAGGAATAGTGATCATCGGGAAGCTGTTCTGTTCTGATACTGGCTGCGTATTTTGATCTTTTGGCAAGTGGAATAACCTTCCACAGTTCTCATCCCTTCCAAATCTTTGAGTTGTTAACTCCTTGCTTGGCAGGATACTAGTTCATGCTACTTTTGTCTGCTTAACTCGCAGTTGGCTTGATGGCCGATGGTGGCTGATTACTTGACCATGCAGGCTTATTGCATTTGTCACTAACATTTCTCCACCCGCGCCCATTTACATTCACCTGAACCAGTTGTGTTGTGCATCACTCCCTGCACAAAGCCCTCTGCGTGCTGTACACACTCGCGGGTATTAGTCTGTCAGTTCCACTCTACCTATTCATTTGATTTTTTGTCCTCGATGCATTAACCCTTATCTCCTCTCTTGAAACGATCTTCGTCTTGAAGTTCATCAAGCCCTCTAACTGTTGGTTTGTATTTTAAATGCCTCGACGTTGTGGAAGTCGTAGGAATTGTTAAGCTATTTTCATTCTCAGCTTAATCAGCTTTCACCGCAGTGTAGTGTCCGAGTTATTTCTGACGTCATTAAAAGGTTTTATTATATGCGTGCAGGGGGCAAAATCGGGTATCATCGCGATGATTTCAGTGCCATTGTCGCATTTCGTGTATTTAGGTGCCACTCCATAAGCTTCACATCCTTTGTTGAGCAAACGACATTGGAGCTCGTTTGAGAGGCATTGGTGAAGATCGTACGGCGTCATTATTACCGTCAGTTGCTTTATTTGACAACATGCGAAGTGTTTTGTACCAAAACTATGATCCGCCTTCAACTCTCCTTCCCGATGTGTTGCACTTTCGCTCCTATTCAGTCAGGTACCTTAGTTGGCTTCACCTCCTACAACACAGAGATGGGTGGGGTATTCAGACCACCTCTGACCCTCTCTTTACGTGTCACTGATCAAAGCATTGCGTGGATAAACGATTTCGGACTGTTCCATTCGACTCCCTCTCTCCCTTATTGGTCATCACAAAAAGTCGAGATCAGGGTGAATACCCAATTAGATGCAACCTTGAGGGGCCTTTTGTTGTAAGTCGTCATGGATACCTTCTTTCCCCACCCTGCTGCAGTATTTGTCCGGCGAAAACCACTAATGGCCCTCCCGAATAGTTCCAAAGTTGCTTTTAAGTATGTTATGGGTAACTAGAGTCTAAAATACAAAATAATTCAAAGAGTACTGATCGAATCGCGGAAGAGTGGGAGGTCCGATTATACCTTTTCAATCCCTATCATTTCACCGCAGTGGTCTGATTCGTACCTAGATGTTTGGATGTGTATGTGCAATTTCACCGACCTGTGCTGATTCATTTGTCCACCCAAATCCGTCACGCACTGGCGATAAACGCTTAACTATAATGATTGGTGGTGGTGGGCGTTTTCCAACTAGCCACTAAATATGAAGTGTTCGGTCTGGGGTCGATATGTTTTCTCCTAGCTGAATTTCCCCTGCAATATCAACTCCTAGCAGCCTCACCTGCAGTGGCAGCTGATGAATAAATCTGTTATACTTTCACTGTAACTTGCCTGCCATCTCTGCGCAACCTGTCTTCCCTCAGAAACTAACTTGTGATGGCGGCTGTTTTGTCAATGCGCTTCTAGTCTCCCGACGCCTTCCGCCAAATTCATCCGGGTCAACGAAACTCCTGGTACACCGGGCTTGTGTATGTACTTTCCATTTAAACTCCCACCTAGGTCACCGTTTTCAGTAAATGCTTTTTTTTTCACAGTGCCCTTCGTAGCAGAAGTCGATTTACCTGCGATAATTTTTCTTTCAGTTGTAGAAGTTATTCCGAGTGGAATTCCCGAGTACGAACTTAGTTGGTTGTGGTAGACACATTACAACAACCGACTGGTCAGCATTGCAAAACGGGGTAATAATTGGCCTTTTTGACAACTAACTGTCGCGTTTGGACATTTGGGTATGATGCCTGGAAAATGACATTTTCACCCTCATTTTACTCTTCTCACGTGGCACTGCTGCGACTCGCTGTTGTCATGGCTTTCAGCAAGGGTATTCAGGCGAGCCAGTAAGGTGCGGTTTCTCCCTGCAAGCTCCCTCTTCTTTAAGTCATGTGACGACGGAATCTGATCAGCAGTAGTCATTTCTTGGATATCTCAGGCTTCTCATTTTCACTTCCACAATGCCATTCTTCTTCTTCTTCATCATCACCATCATCATCATCAGCAGCAGCAGCAGCAGCATTAAACTTAAGCTTCCCACTTGGCGGACTTCCTTTCAAGGTCAAAGTCGTTCGTCAACCTTTTGAACTCATTTTGGTGCTATTGGTTCCACAACGTGATTCACATCCGCGACTACTACTAGCGTTTAGTTTATCAATTTTTAATTTCATGGATCTTATTCTGCGGAAGACTGCCTCCTAAAATCCAACCAAAATCGAAATTATGCGTCCGAAATAGTGGCTGCTGTCGACACTTCTAAGTCTGGAGTAGTTACCTTGGTTTTTCAAGTACCATAACCCAGGTAATGCCTTAACTGTGACTCCTCGGTGTGCAGTGGAAGTAATAAACCCCATCACATAGAGGGGAGCTTTACTACCTCTGCCTTAAGCCGCGTTTCCCTTGGCGTACGGCCTGGCCGTGGCGATGACCATACGCGTATGCGCGTTTTATCATGCGGTCGTCATCCGCCCCTGAGTCCCACACCCATCTTACACGTCCTTGCGGAATTGCTTGACATCCCCAACCGGTGAATTTGCTTGCCTGTATTTTGTGTCGGTTAATGAGGGAACGATGAACACTGGATTCCATCTTATCAAGACGGATCGATGAATGACTGTATCCCTAGAGTGGTCGTTTTGGCAGCCAAGATCCCACATGATTTCGTCTTATCTGCTGTTAGACACCAAAAGCGTGGCCCCTATGTGATTTTATTCTTTAGTAGGGAGGCGGTTGCTAAACCCATCACTCCTCCACTTCTCCCGTGCTTGCAAATCTCAAAGTAAACACCAAATTCTGATTAATTAGTATCGATTGAAGGAGTCCGTCTGCCCACATGCCCAGCTAGGTGTCCGCCTTGACACATCATCTGATGTGGGCGTGGTTGGACCAGCTTTTTTCCGGAAAACAGTGCAGTGTAAATTAATAGGTGTTGGTGAACTCCGGTTGTACTCTCATGATTGCGGATGTTTCGTTGATTATGCTATTTCTAACTTGAAAACTATCAGTTCTTTTATTTCAGTACCCTTCCCTCTATTGGTCCGCTGTTTCTACTATTAATTATTTAAATAGTATAAGAAGTAATGGTTGTGCCTTTACTACAACTAGAATTAAAAGCCCATTCACGTATGTAAATTACGAGCATCTGCAGTTGCCTTAGGGAAACATTTTGAGGTCCCCACTGCCTCAATTGTCAATTGTCACGACTGCAGTCCCAAATTTGCCACCTTTCCCCCGTCACCTTTCGCGCCTTCCTTTAGAAAGAATTGGGTAGTGCAATAATTCGAACCAGGCTATCGAATGCCTCACGAAGAAGTGAATGTCCTCCATAAGACTGCACTTTAACATCAAGCTACTGCAAATGCACTCCTTTATTCCTCCTTGAAAGTGCAATAGGCTGTAGAAGTCCTTTACCAGTTTCGTTCTGGTGTTGCAGAGGTGCTGAACGGCCAGAATCATACAACGCAGGCACTACCTTTTCCCCTTAGCATGGAAGTCGTAACAGTGTAGAGTAAATAAAGCCACTTTACCACTCGACTTACCTCAGGCATAACGATTAGAAAGCAGCCTAGCGGTTAGGATACACTTTTTAGTCTTCGCGATTGTGGAATTCAGTTCCCTGAATGACGGAAGGGCTAGAATGTGTGACTGGTTTTGCGGCTGAATACAATACCAACAGTTAGGGGTAAGTATATGAACGAATCGGTAGCAACGCCAATTCCCATTCGCCTTATTATCTAATTAGGCATTTTTTCGCCGCTAGGGCCCAGCCTGCTCTGGCATGGGCGTCTGCGACTGTGGCCAGTGTTTTTGCAACTCCGGTCGTACCGGCCAGTTGTGCAACGAAGTGCAGGGTGGAGAGTCAGCGCTCTGCACCGATCGCGGTGTAGAGCAGTGTGTGTTGTGTCTGCGCCGTGAGATGCTTGGCACCGACGAGGTGAGAATAGCGGAGGAGGCAGAGAAGCGTCCGCCCACCGCCCCACCTGTGACTGTCAGCCCCGAGACCGTGGCCGCCTGTCACGCTGTTTGCAATACTACTGTCATCGATACGACCAAAGTGCAAATCATTGATGAGGTGGGGGAGGAGAGCAAAGATGTGGGCGAGGGAGGCGGAAGTGGTGGCGGCTCTGGCGGTGGATCTAATCTCTGCATCATCTACACGGAGGACTCATGCCGTGTGATGTTCAAGTACCGCTACTCGGATGCTGTATACATTCATCGGAAGGTATTGAAGCTCTTTATGGTTGAGGTAGCTAAGATGGTGGATTTTTTCCCCCTCTCAAACTTCTTGCCTTTATTCCTCCTCTCACAGGTTGACCTGAAAATCGTGCGCAAGAGCGAGTGCACCAAGACCACGGGCATCCTCTACATTATCCTTGGCGTGATTGCGGGCATTGTGTTGGGTGGCCTAATCCTCCTCCTCATTTACAAACTCGTTATCACCATCGACGACCGTCGTGAATTGGCCAAGTTCAAGATGCACAATGAGAATGTGCACTGGGAGATGGCGGAGAATCCGATCTTTGAACCGCCCACCACGCGTGTCATGAATCCCACCTTCAATGACGACGCCGCCTTGGAGTAACATGCTGCAATTTTGTGCTTTTCCTCCCAGTCCTACCCTTCCTGTTTTAGTTCTGGCGCTCTTTTCTTCTGCTTGCGACAACCATCCTCGCCCTCGCTCCCCTCCCCTTAGTAATATTTCGTGTGACAGCACGCAATCTCACACATCGCTGGCATACGTGGACTTATGTACTAATTCTTTCTAATGAACACACCTATTATTTCATTTCTAATAGGAATATACACATGCACATACCCGTGCGAGCCTTTCGACTGATGTGATGGTGTGGTGTTATTCCCCATTTTGGTAGTCGCCGGCTTGACAAGTTGGAAGTGCCACTTTCGTGCCTTATTATTCCCGAGGTTTTGAGCCTCAAGTGACACCAGTTTTTCCACTGGCTAACTGTTTAGTGCGTTTCCTCATTCAGCCCTTATTTGCAGTTTGAGCTGAGCCAAACCTTGCTGGAAGTTTGGCGGTCCTTCCGTTCTTTATAGCGGTTAGATTTCATTTCTGTTTGTCACATGCGATTTCGGATGGTTGACTTATTTCTAACTCCCAATCAACTAGATAGACAGTCAAAATTTGGACTAATCTCAGAATCAGCATTACTTTCGCACCTGCCAATAGGAAATGAACAGGTTGTCTCAGCTGCTTGCTTCTCGACTCTCGTTGGTTCACCGTGGTCATCGCTCCTACCGATTCATTCCCAGTAAACCCGTGTGGCGTTGGCATGACGTAAGTGAAGTACCGCCGTTCCGTGAACTAGCTGAATGATGTAACCCACCTTTTAGGACAGGAGCCCATGCTCGGACAGCGCTATCTTCACTATCCCGCCCGAAGAAATCCCCCCACGCATCGAACTGGACGACCAGACGCTAAAACTACTCGAACGACTGAGTTTGGTCAACTTCAATGAAGAGGTGTGTGTGTGTGTATATTTGAGCCATTCGAAGGTTACATTCAACACTATTTGGAATATTCTCGCCAATAATCCACGATATACTGTCGCCTTAACCAGGCTTCAAAATTGATCTGATATCTCGAATGTTGATTTCCCGCTTGAGCAGAGTCAATATTTTTGTGCATCTGATTAAGGTTTCCAACAGTTCTATTTCTAGCCTCCTGATTCGGCTTCTTCTTCCTCCTTCACTCATTTTAGACAACAAAGACAATCGTGGAGGAAGCCATCCACTTTGCCGACTGCCTCCTTACTCCAGTGGTCTTCAGAGGTTGCGCTACCAGGGCGACAGTGGAGCCGATGATTAGTCTACTGGGTGAGAAGGACTGGGAGCCGGTAGAGGTGGTGGCGGAGGATTGGACGGAGGGGGGAAAGGAAGGGAGTGATCCTATTGCCGTCACCGCTGCGCACATTCTGCACCATGCCGCAGTCACCTGGGAGAACTACTTTGTCGCACCGCCTAGCAATCAGCCCATCCATCCCGAGCTGGATGGAAAGGCCAAGTCTTTGGATGGTTGAGCTGGAGACTATTGTTTCTGTAAATTTGCAGAGCCTATCCTCTTTCTTTGCCTCTGTACTACCTTCTTCCATTAGGTCTGGGCTATCGTTTCTTTTCGATCGTAGTGGCTATATGCGTCTGCTGTAATTGAATGACCAAGTTAGAGCCTAAAACCGTAAACATCACTGCGCATTCCACTACCTCTGTGTTATGCCATCATATGAGGACAAATTAGCTTCGAGGAGGCTCTTTATCGGTGTTTACAGTTTCTGCTTACTGGGTCCCGACTTACCTTTAAATGGTCTGACGTTGATGGGAAAGTGGGGAAGACTCTTCTAGATTTTCTTCAGAATAGTCTGCGTGGATTCGCAAAGTGTGAGTTCTTTTACCCCTGTTGAAATTGAAGGAATGACTCTTGCCTTAACCTCACTTTCATTAGAAAATAAGTAACTAAAATTAATGTTTGCCAAGTGCTTAGGTGTACTAATTTATTACAAAATAGCGTACCATTCTCGACTATATGATAGAAAGATTTCGCCAAAGTTTGGATTCTGAGGCGGGCTCTGCATTCACAATTGATACTCCCGTTTGAGTAAAGCTTGTAGCTTTCAATACATGGTTTTAATAAACAAAGAATACAATAAATGCATCAGTCCTTCGTCCTCCTATGGAGGAGCATCGTGATCCATTCCAGAGCGCAGCTCTAGAGAAAAAAGGCGGAATTACAGAAATAAGGAGTAAGCTACTACCGGCGACTAATCGTCTGGTCATTCTTCGTGTGGTGGCTGATGCGGTGGTGGTCCCTGTATCCATTGTAGACCTCACCTCCTTACTATCCATTTGCTGTTGCTGCTGATGGTGTTGATGCTGCACCTCATTCTCCTGGAGGTACTTCTGGAAGCGTTTGCACGTGTCGGGGGGCAGATAGAGTCGTGTCAATGGCCGATTTTGCATACTGCGATCTGGTGAAAGTAAGGAGTATTACGGGCTAGAGAAAAATCCTAATCCCCTCTAGATCAAGGCAAACATATACAAGGGCAAAACCTAACACCACTTTTTTCAAAGGTTTTCATCTACTCGGGTGAGGCCTAAATGTAGGCGAAAGCAAGATAATGCAGTCTTGTGGCTATTAATGTGGGGCTTTTAGGACAGATTCGGATGGTACACTTACCAACGCTATGACCATTACAGGTCATTTCTTATCGTATGAATTCTTATACCACACTTGGTGTACGGTACCAAGTCATGCCCAACAAAAAGGTGCTTACCTAGGTGTGTACAGAACGGGCAAAATATGGAAGCTTAAAACAATTTTCGCTTCACTCACTACGTTTAAGAACCTATTTCAGACAAAAACCCACCAGTAGAATTAAGATGGCATTCAAACGCTGACCAGATAAGATAAGTGAGTGAACCCAAATATGATGAACTTGATGCGGCTAGAATGTAAGACGAGACAAGTTTTCAAGGAAAATGAGGATCCAACACATGATTAACAACAAATAAAATTCATTTTAATCGTAGTTCCTTCCAGTTTGCCAATGAACCGCACACTAGGGAGATAAAATGTGAGTTTTTAGAACCAGATGTATAAAACGCTAACGTACACACGAAGTTCGAATCCAATGTAGATGGAGAGAGGGTGGACGCGTGCTACTAGCTGACTATACGGCTTACGACCAAGTAGGCCATGGATTCAATAGTAGCATAAAGTAGAAATGATGGAAATTTTTAACAAGCAGGAACTAGTTTGGAACCATCTAGAAGTGGCTTTTTATTTGGTTTATCATTCAAACCCTGCTGCAGAGACTATACTGTAATACCTATGTTGTTTTAATGCACCTTCCAAATAGGGGGCAATCTAAAAATACAAGTCTGGTGACATGAGTGCCCTCTCCCGTGCCTGTTGATTGCCATTCCTCCCCTTCTTAAATACTGTACTTTCCCTCTCAATCTTCTCCTCTTTAATAAATATGTCTGAATTGAATCAACCGGGCTCTTCTGAGAACGCTGGGAGCAGGGGAGTGGAGACCGGTGGGTCCCGCCCTGCAATACCTGCTTGACGCCCTGGAAAAGAGGTTGGGATCAACGCAGTTTAAGTGGTGGGTCATGACCTCAGGAGCCGTTAGTAGCTTCGGAGAATTCGCAAGTGCTTTAAGGTCTTAGCAATAAGGTTCTAAAATCATAGGCGCTTCAGAGGTAATTTAATCACACAATATTCAAACAGGGGTGGGGATGAGTTCACCCTCAACGTCGGAATTCAAATTCAATTCAAAATATTAGCATTTAATTTTTGTCATAGGCATGCAGTGTTTTTGCTTTAGTTTTAAGGTCAAAAGAATACATTTGTCATTATTTTTGACACCAAGGCTTGGCTAATAATAGTTCGTTTTTTATGCTTTTTTATGCCAATCTATTGTGTTAGTGGCGCGCCTTATTTGGTTGTCTTTGTTAGTTTAGGTATGGCTTCGTTCCTGTGCGAATTCGACCATATTGTATGCTCATGATGCTTTGGTAGCGTATTCGCCAAGCCCTTATGAACTGTCTTTAGGAATCAGTGAAATCTCGAACTATTTTGTTGTTCTATGTTAGTTCTGCTATAATTCGTTTTGCAGTCATGCCTATCCGCAAACGAAAACCCTTTGAACCGGGACGATGTCTTGGTCCTGTTTTCTCTGAGCGACTGTGCAAATTGGAGGCGATCAAGCAGCAACTTCTGGAATTGGACAATCGCCTCAAAATGGAAATGCTCGTCTTACGTGAACTTTCTGGTAATCCAGTCAATGTGAATGAGAAACTCGACGGTTTTGTTGCCAAAATGTCCAAATCGCTGATGTCGGAAGTTGTGAGTTTTCTGAGACCGTGAAAGTTCCTAGAGATACTTCTATCTTTTGATTGCTTGCTTTTTGGACTTTTATGCAGACAGAAATTTGCATCCTGTTGTTAGACTTTAGGCCATGACCCCTTTCTTGCTTTGGTTTGAATTTGGCAGTCAATTTTTATCTACGTATTACTTTTAGTGGTTTTCTAGTAGTATTTGTGGATGTTCTATTTTTTTCAGTTATCTAGTAGTATTGCACAAAACACTCTAACACCGCGTGTGCAGTCATCTCCTGATGTCCCAGATCACTCGACTGAGGAGCAGAATAAAATTTTCCCGACGAGGATTTTTCTATTGCCAAAGAATCCCTCAGCTCCGCCTTCTACTTCTGCTACTCCTCCGCTACCACTATTACAGCAACAGCAGCAGCAGCAGCAGCAGCAGCAGCAGCAAGGGCAGCAATCTCAAGGGGTAGTCGTCACTACAAAGGGGAAGGGGGATGTCATTCCTGTTGTCGTTGACATCTCAAACCAACCCCTTCCTCCCACACTAGGTCTGCATGGTTCTCTCGAATCCAATGCATTCCTCTCCTACGCTGCTGACTTGCTGGCCCTTCCTACTCACACTTCAGCTTCCAAACCTCCTCATCCAGATAGAAGGTTCTCTTCATCAAAAGGAAATTTCACTTGCGAACTTTTAGTCACCCCTTCCACCAGTGTGGATCTTGATGTCAGATAGTCCAGAACAAATATATCCTTTTTTATAGTATCTATGTGTTTTGCATCCGGAACGGATTGTCATGCACAGTTCAGTGGTTTTTCCAAAGTTGGTAACTTCGGTTTTTTTTAACGTTTTATCATCCCTAGGGGTGGCAATTCAGTTCGTCAATCTTTACATCCGCTGACCGCTTCGACCTTGAAGTTGGTTAGCTGAGCTACGTTGGTCTAATTGTAGTTTTTTTTCTCTTTAGTCTCTGTTTGCATTTCGAGGAGCGGTTCGTACAACGAGATCGCGGTTCACAGAACCTTCCAGTGAAACCTCTGTTTCTCATCGCACTGCCTCTGGGGATCGAGCTTCTTCAACTTCCGACAGCGATGTTCCAGCCTCGGAAGATTATTCAAGCCCTAAAAGGATCGTGCCGCAGCCTAAAGTATTTGCACTGCATTCGTACGCGACTTGCGTCTGTCTATTGATAATTACCCTCACGGTGATTTCCTTGCTTTTTTGGCCTTCGACCCCACTGGATTTGGAGGCCGAAGTAGAGATTCAGATGAGGCAATTGATGAAGACATTTCCCAACCAGAGTACCCGTCTCTGGGCCACTGTAAAGGGTGCTCTTCTTTCACAGCCAAGGTTTTGACTAAGTTTTACTTGAATTTGATCAGTAGCACAAATTTAGGCAACAGTACCTTTTTTCACTTTCTCCAGGTTACCCAATAAATGGTGGGGTGAAGCTGAGGAGAAGGAGTCACCCACTGTTCTACTTTTCGCTCCTACGGCACCCAGTGACAGTTTCCAGTGTTTCTTGGAGCGATTTGGCAGAGCTTTGGCAAATTTAGACCCTCGTTGGTCTTGCGTCAAGATCAACCCTTTTGATTCCTCATCCACCACTCTACCCAATGTTGTAAGCCACTGATCTTATCTTGTCATTTTGTGTGAAAGCGAATATTGTTTTGCGATAGTTTCCGATTTGATTCGCCACTTATGTTTGGAGTATGGTGCCTGAGGTATGTTTGAAGGTAGCAAAATGCATAAAATTTTGGAAGTAACGGTGTTATGAATGAATTTTTATGGCTGTTGAAGAAGTATCTTTGGTCCCATCTTCGAAGAAGGCGCGAGGATAGCGGAAATAACGGTTGCTACGACCCCCACACTTCGGATTTAGGCCCCTCTCAGCAGTGTCACACGTGACTTAGCCAGAAGTAATGAATACTCGGTTCATATGCGATCATTGACAAGTTGTAAGTAACCTGCAGTTTCATGGTAACCTCTCATGCGTCACTGTGTGCTCCCAAAGGCAGTCACCCCAACGGGTGATCCCATCTTGGGTCATCTCATGGTCCCAACGGGCTTTCCTCCTTACAAGACCTTACAGAAGTAGCTTTGTGGGAAAGCATGTGTGGATCTCACAGTGAAGCACCACAGGATGACAACTCTTCTCGTGGCTTTTCCTTCCCCAGCGCCCGATAATGCAGCCGAAGCTGTCTGATCTGCTCTTTCCAGAGTTTAGTGCTCGAGGTATGTCATTTCCTGTCTGCAAGAGGCCTGCTGTTGCGGATTTGGAACTGCTACACAATCCTTATTTTCGAACTCTAACTGACGGCTTGCCAGACTGAGCATCAGCTACCACGTTCGGGCCTAACACTCAATGGTGTGCTTCTGGTGCAAACTTCCACACGAAGGTGACAAGGTAGCTCCAAAAGAATGTGGTATCATGAAGTGTCAGCATCAGACCATCAGAAGAAGTTCGATCAGTAGCAGAAACTACTTGGTGAAACGTGGTCTGGATATCCTCTGCAACGGTGTAGTAGTGTTCTCACAATCTCAAGAGCACTCCATATAGACTTTTAACGAGGTTCGATCCAGTAAAGGAGTTAGGGTTCAATGAACTCTGACTGCACGCCTCAGGACAGCCGAAGTCAACCCTTTAGTAGTGCGATGTGAAGGTTGTCATGTGTTCCACCCAGCCTAGCTGTGCTCTCTTTTAGACAAATATCACTCAACCTTTAGATACACTTACATCCATATGATTCACCAACTTCAAGACGTTTTTTTTTCAAGCTTATTGACCCCCGCACTGCCTGACCACATCTATATTGGTGAGCAGAGTAACGGGATCTTCGAGGTCAGTGGTACGTCATAATGGCCACCAATCGGGTACATTGAAGCATTTATGCGATACGAAACTTTCCTCACTTCTTCGGACACCTCCTTCTTGGTAGATTCCATTTTGACGGATTAAAGTTTGGAAAAACCATTTAGGCTTGTCTGTAGTTTACTTGTTTCGCCATCTTTCATCCTTTGGTACTTTGAGGCTACTGGAACCAGAACCACGCATTTTAACGGATCATTCACTGTGAGAACTACTTGGGCCACAGCGTCATTCAATCACGCAGTGAACTTTCTGGATGCCGGTTTCGATTAAAACACGAACCTTGTGGTCCTCCACGTGCAGCAGTGGCACCTTCACCGAGTGGGTTCATTGATGAAAGTTTGATTGCGGGCGTCTCGCTGGCTTCAGCCTCGGTTGGATATTGATTGGTCAGGCTTCATCCATCAGAATGACTTCCTCACAGTTCGACAACATAAAGTTAGCTTGGTTTGTGGGTTTATCACTGAGTGGATTATCAATCCTCTGAAGCCTCAATTTTACTACCAACGAACCATCGATCCAAGCGGGCGTCGTCAGCTACTTCGTCGAATAGACCACGGATGCGGATGCGTAGAAAGGTGCCTTCCTGCTGCGATGCTATCAGAGGGCTTTGTGAGTTCAGTATTGCACCTTGAACGGTTCAACTGATGCAGCAGCTAATGGTGCGGCTCATTGCAGCTTTAGATTCGGCAGGGTCGATGTGGACTGCAATCCTCTACGCCATGGTGGGAATTTTGACGTATGTATCAGCCGGACCACTTTTATGCCCTTGTACTCGTCCGGGGCGGCAAAACCCTAGAAAGTGCGCAATCGTGTTTACGTCGACGTAGTAGATGACTTTCACAAGACTGGTTTGTTCAATGGTGCTGGCCAGCTGCAGCATCAACTCTGTCGCCGCTGAAGCGTCCACCTTCATTGAACGTTGACTCACACTCTGGTTTTGTTATGAAAGAACCTCCAAACTACTTACTTTCCATTTGAAGTGATAGCCCCTGAACACTCGCACTCAGTCTTGGTAGCTGAGCCGCTTCAGTGTGACCAGACGACTTGATGATTGGCTCATCCGTCTATTCTATGGTACCAGAATTCGATGCTCAGGGAGGTATTTGACGCTATTCTCCCTCCCAAGCTGAAATATGGTAATCCAACAAGCAGAAATAATCTTCTGCGGTGGCAAAATGATTTATGGTTTTGCGGTGGAATTTGTGCAAGCGAATAGTTCCGGAGTATCTCCAATGTCTTGTGCGCCCTGGGTGATCTTGGAGCTTCGGCTGTCCAGGCGTAGATTGTGGAACCCTTTAAGGGTATCTCATTGAGGGAAAAAAAGCTGGGTGCTACAGGAGGCAGCGAGTCGATATTACTTTGGACAGCATCCAGTTGGTCAGACAGCCGTTGTGCGGGTGGGTGGACGAATTATATCTCTACGTGTAATTAGCTTCGTGTGCTTCCAATTCGTGAATTTCCTTTAACATCGCAGCCTTCACAAATGTATTCGGTGTCAAAATGTCAGCTACTAGCTGAATCAACCCAAAATAAATTTTAAGTACTGCCAGAGATTGACATCTGTCTTTGCCTCTACTGCTCATGAAGTAGAGCTCGAGTTTGGAGTCATCGGTTTTGGCTATATCCTCCGACATTTAGAGTTTAATAGCCTTTTACAATTGCCACCTCATTTTTCTGTGTCACTTGGTCCATTTCTATGTGTAAGGGTTCTTTGTCCTCTAGAGCTCGACTTCTTATATCGATATGGTACTATTTAAGTAAGAAATACATTACTTATTGTTTGTGTGTTGATGTGTTGACTGTGTAATTCCTAGCCCTAGTCAAGTTTAGAGATTATTTAAGTCATCGCACTTATTAGCGTTGCTTGTCGTTGGGAGCTTTTCCCTTCACGCAACATAAAATTCCATCAGAAAGTAGGGTTTTTTATACAAATGAGTTGTTTTACGTACCTAGCTTAACTCACCACACATTTTTATTTTAAATCATTCATTATTAACTGATTTGAAGAGATTGTCACAAAAAAAGCACATCACTTGAGACGACGTAGTTTGCTACCTATTACCGAACTCAGCAGCACCGCGTGTTTCTTTATGGGTTTAGCTGAAGCGCAAATTGTATGATCAACTGACTGAGGCGTATGGACGGCGCAAACGTTGTCTCCGCGTCGTGGATATCGATCGACTGCCGAGCGAGGCGGTGTTGGTGTTGCACGGCTCCAGTGATCCGATCAGCTCGCCTTTTCGAAACGCTTTCCTCGTACTCAATATCGAGCGCCCCCCTATGCTTCAACCTGGGTACGAAACTGTGGTAATCTGTTTTTGCTGTATCATTTGAAGTTCTGGCTGATGCATAGTATTTTCTCCTCCCAAAGAACGACACACCGAGATATAGAAACCCACCTGCGCCGCTACTTGCACTCCCTGTGGGACACTGAACTGGGACTTGACGAAGTGTATGCCCTGATCTCCCGTTTGACCCGTCAAATTGGCGTTTTTGACGTCTGATACACCTCCCTCCCTTCTCTCTACTTCGATCAACGACGAATTTATGATGTCTTCTTACCGTGCTTTATTGGTTGGATTAAAACGGATTTTTTTTACTTTAAGAAAGCTCCAAGAGTACACTAGGTGGCTCTGACTTCTTGCATCGTTGATCAATTTGGTCGGTTTTGTTAAATACTCTTGGTTCACTGTAGCATCTTCCCGACGAAGTCCGTCCAAGTTATCGATATCATCCTTAAAGGCCGCTGGGAGACATCCACACTTCACGCCAAACGGAGGGTAAATGAATACTTTGGGATTTTGGGCTTACGTCCAAATTTAGACTTTCGCCTCGTCTACGCGTCAATTTGTCCGTTCATCCGGGCAATGTGATGAGTCACACGCACCATAGCGATGATGTTCTGACTCAAGTGGTCGTTAATTTGCATAGATTTCAACGCTAATCACACCAGCATACACATATTTTGCTTCTCTACTCCCAATACTCATGAAATGCTATTCCCTAAGACACTAAAGGTCTTACAATAGGCTTTCTATTCAAATCATCGCATTTACTACTTTCGGGGAGGTCAGAGGAGAGAACGTCAAGATTGACTTCTGCGGCCAACTTTAAAAGATCAGAGAAAAATGAATTAAAAAATAATGTTAAGGAAATAAATATCGACAAAGACCGATATGGGCCAAATGGACTTGTTGCCCAGTCACTGCTCTTTATCCCCATTTTCATTGGACAGGATCAAAAGCTAATTTGGGATTTGGTTTCTTCAACATGATTCATCTAACAAAAACTGTTAGAAGTGCTAAGAGGAACAGCTGTCGGGCGAGTTAAAGTAGCCTAAAGTTTGATTTGTACATGCCAGCCAGGTGCTGCTAGGATCCCCATCTTTGGGTCTATCTCACTTCGGCCTTAGTCCCTCACGCCTCCAGCCAATCAGCACAGCCCACGCACCGGTGCAGGCCTCCCATTGGTTGGCCAGCGCCGCGTGCCTTTACGTGCATAGCCTAATATCGGCTAATGTCGACGTCCCTTGAATGCGCGACAAAACCAACCGAGCGCGGTGAACATTCGTTGTTCGAGCCCAAGCTGGTGACTGCGTCACTGTGTAATCGCCCAACCCGCTAAAATAGGTAGCAATCGGTTTAAGTAGGGGGAAAGAGGAGAGGAGTTCATGTGTTTTTCCGTTCCCGGCTTCATATTTCTGTAGCAGAAAGCAGGATGAGTCCAGGCCTTGCAGACACTGGTTAGCTGAGGTCAGACAGACGTTTAAAGTTTTTGGGGCACCAAGCTGTGATCCCGTCAAAAATGATTTTTTGTAGGCGATGGTACTGAAAATCGTCTGAGGCATGATTTCTCAAGTCGGAGGGATGTGGTTACTTTCTATGTCGAAGCTCCGAAACGCAAAGTAGTCAGCTTATAGCTGCAGCTTTTTTCACAATGGGTCAAAAATTAATCTAGAAACTCACTCAGTGTATACAACGTCAGGGATTTCTAGAACTGAATCCTTTAATATTCCCGATGAATTAAAGATACGCGGAGCCTACGGAAGAAAGACTAACCGATTCCTAATTCCCTATGCCCAAATAATTCCGCTCATTCGACGGAACCGCAAAAGCAGCAGCCTGAGTGGCATCGCATCTGCCGCTGCAAGCAGGAGAGAAGCTATGAATCAAACTGTCATTTATTGCAGTTAACAGTTGCCAAGGCCATTGTTATTTGACAAAGGGGGAAACGTGTTTGTTTGGCCTGCTGAACTTGGTCGCCCAGACCAGTCACACCCACACACACCCGACCAACCAGAGGGCGCGGAGATTGAAAGATCCCATGCGCACCCATGGATTGCCTACCGATTGGTTTGCACAACTGCGCAAATCACTAACCCCAATCGATATGGTGGACAGGGTTTCTTGGACTAACGCTCTCCCCGGACACGAATTCTCCCTGTCAAGTAGACTGAATAGCTTCCCACACGTTTTCCCGTGGTCGCTTCAAATAGCATAGCGTAGGATCGCATAGCCAAGTTTAAGTTCGGTGATTCTGGGTGAAGTGCAATATCATCCATCAATTTGGGTTGAATAGCTGTTGCCACTTAGATTACCACGACGTCCTGTCAAACTGTCAGGGGATGTAACAAAGTCCAACATGCGAGGTTGAAACAAGATCAACCTGCGCATTACTCTATGAGTCCCCTGCCACGACGAAGTGTCGTCTGGCATTTACGCCGTTGAGCTATAATTGATTAATAGTTCTCGATTTTCAAGGACCACTGATTGCCAGTGACCAACTTAAAGGACTTAGCTTGAGAGGTTGACGCATAACCCGAGCTAACCCCAATCCCAAGCGTAATGGAGGGCACATTCTTAGCCCATTTATTAACCAAGAAGTGATTGTTTTACGACCAATCGAAATCGTCCACTTTTAAACCCAACCGCCCCAGTCACGTAACTTACTGTCCACTGTAAGCCAAATATAGGGAACCAGTATACTAACTCTTTTCAATTCCTTATTTGTTGATCTGGGCTCTTGACGTTTCAACACCAATTTTGCCTTTTGCCGCCTCAAGCGCCAACACTAAGCGTGTAAGTTTATGATTCCCACGCAGGCTAAAGGAGAAGGGGGGAAATAATTCCAGCACCTGACGAAGAGCAGTAACTGGGCTCCTGTTTTATTCCGTTTCACAAAACTTTAAAGTGGACAATAATTAGCCTCCTTGAGTTTTGCTATGTTTGGAAGATGATGCGGAACAAAAAAAACTCGGAGAATGCAGACATCTTCAAATAATGAGTCGCCATCTAACCCCATCGTACATCGATGGACGAGCCCGTCCACAAACAAAAAACCATGAACGAGGACTGTGCCCTACAAAGGCGGCCGCGGAGCGATGGAGATCAGTTCAACTATAGTAACGTCAAACAAGTGAATACCGACAAGCGGGGTCAGATAAACTCTTTCAAACTCACAAGTGAAAGACGCTAGAAGAGTACCGATAAGTCGTTTTGGGCACGTCAAATACAATGACGACCTCCAGACAGTGGTCGAGGCCGATTCTAATACCCAGTCAAATCAGGCTCGTGTTTTAGTAGACTGTCACCCAAAACAAAGAACCTTGTAGACAAGGTCAATAAGCATAACGGAAGTTCACGAAACAAGGAAAATATGAACTCTTAAACTGACCTCTCTGATTACCAATGCTGCATAGCCGTGAAAATGCCAATGCAGATTACCACACATAAAGACGATTGAGCCAAACATTTGATAACCGTGAATAATCTACATGCACATAACTTAGTATGATAACAAGTGATAAAAAATCCACAGGATTAGGAAGCAATCAGTAATGGAATTAGGAACAGCTTTTTTCGAGCATGCTAATTTGAATTCTCAACAAATCTTCCGAAAAAAAGTAGAACAACTTACTTCCAAAAAGGATTTACTCTTAACAAACAAATGCAGGCAAAAGCAGAAACTAAAGAAATTGCTGATTTAAAAAAGACAGAACCACTGCACTTTCATTGGCTGAGCGAGAATTTATTTCAAGGGGTTAGAAACAATGTTTGCTTTTCTTAATTGCAAGAACCAGGAAGCGAATCCATGAAGTTTTCCCTTGTCAAATCGGATTTTTCGTTCAACTGGAGGTAGCTTTTAAATCCGGTGAGTTGAGATTTCAACGCATCAACAGAAGATGCGTACAACATTCGCTCGCGGACACTTGCATTATCAGGAATCCTAGAAACAAAGTCCCAACATGTCCGACGACAAACCATGAGATAAAAAGTAAATGCGATTTATTGCTGTCAGACTCAAAATCAAGGACTGCGTAGCGCGCACTTTTTTCAAGATTCTCCAACTCTGTCTTAAATTGATCAAAAGTGCAATCTATGGAGACATTAAGAAGAATACAAAAAGCCTACTTCTGTCACCAATTTGATCAATGACAATTTCCTTCTGGTCCTCAATTTTGTACAAAATATAGCGACAAGTTTTCTTCAGTTTGAGTTCATTATATTTAGCCAGGCAGTCGTCTGAGCACTTCACGCCGGAAGTCTAACGAAAACACAATCAAAGCAAAGCGGGCACCTACCATTTTCTATAGGTATTCGAAATTGTGTGTCGTAAACGGCTGCAAGATATTTGGTAAAACGAAACACCGAAATACCAATTTTTAAACTCGAATGTTAAATTCTCCAGGCTTTTACAGTAATTTTTTAATCAAACAATAAAAAATCCTTTAGATGCCTTGCGATATATACAAGGTGAACCCCTTAACATCTATTAATAAAGGTGCCTTAAGTCACGGAATTAACAACTCTATATTGTTTTCTTCAGGTTAGATGTCTTTTTACTAACAAATTTTTCCTACTGACCATGAAATTCGAGCAAATACTAACCTCAACTCTCCGCCTTCCATGACCTTCTACTTACGTCAATGACCATCGAAAAACGAAATATTTTTCTTTCTGGATTGTGTTGTCCTGACCCTACCAACATTGTGTACGCCTAAATCTCCTTTGAATTTCGTATGAGCCGCATCAGTGTGGACGATAATGCAGGCCTAACTTACAGGAAAACCATCTGGCTATATGTTTGCCTGGAAAGCTATACCGCTAAATCGAAGTCCATCCCACTAGGATTCAAGGGCTTCAGACCTTTGGAACAGGAAAATCAAGTTGAGGGGTGGATTTCTTATTTAAGGAATGTGACAAAGTTCGCTGACCATAAAGTTTTATAGGTGATCAAAATTTGTTTCTGTCTCTAGGGTAAGTGACCTTGGCTTAGTTTGGACTGACCTCTTATCGCCTTAGAACCATCTTTTAACAAACTTTATGGCACTGGTATAATTTATTATAATTATGAACTGTCAATTTTTTCCCACCTTTGTTTGGAAGAGCATCAGCATTTGCGGTCTCGCCTGATGTGGACGGGAACATTTCTCGCTCTCTACCTCACCAATATCCTCGCATATCATACTGTCAAAATGAGGCCTTGTCATGGCTTGGAGTGCCTGTCAATCACGTAAACATTGCTGTGTGTAGCCACGTTTTTGAGCTGCGCCCATGCGTACAGTGTATGGATACAAACGATCAGAGTAAGCACAGCGCCTAGACGTTTTTTTTATGTAGTCCAAGCGCTTAACTAGCTCACTTTTAACTTCGCAATTAGCGCCTTTAAAAAGAGAAGGCGCTCATATTCCGCTTCCTTGGGACACACTTCGAGAGTGCAGTTAAGCACTGCGCCTTGGTTACTGCTAGTCTGCGCTTGAAACTAGAATGACCTTCTGTCAGTTAAGGAGGTCTGACGGACTGAGTCACACGTCCTCTTGATGGGTTTTATGTGCCAGGCAATCCCTTTTCGGCTTCCAATTACACAGCATTCTACTAACAATCCATTTGGGTTGCAAATAAGATATCCCTATTTATAACGCACCATGCATTGCTTCGATAGAACCGATGAAAAGAGAGCACCCAATTCCGAAGTAGTAGGTACTAAGTCGCCACTCGTTGTAGTGCAGGCTATGAGATCTAGCAATAGTTAGGCCAACCTTAGTCTAATACCAGGATCGGCGAAATTGAAGACGTGAACGAAGTCACTTGTAATTGAACCTTAATATGGTCAGAGGATTTCGAAGAGATTCACTTCGCTTTGACGTGACGGTTCTATTTACACCACTTTACCGCGTAAGGAAGCCTCTGCTCCATCCAATCTCCTCCTCTGTGAGTCATCCAAATTGCTACTCGCCTCGACGCTTCACTCAAATCTGCCGAACTACGAATACGTCATTATTCGTGACACTGCTTACTAAACCTGACAACTGACTCTGCCTCGGTACCAAAACGGACCAACACGAAGCGGCGAACTCCAGCAGACACCAAGCTCTCATCGCAAATTTGCATTTTGGGGAAGCAATTCTCAATTCAACCCTCACGACACCTACCACTCATTTGTTGGATAAAGACCCCAACCTTGGCTACAAAACCCGATCCCGGTGATATCTGCAAAGCCAAGAGTCTCACTATAGGCCAGACAATAGAGTGATAACCGATATCGTAAGAACGCAACGCTAGACCATAGTAAGTGCATACACAAGAGAACGACCCCCACAGTACAACCGCTTGATAGTCTGTGAAGAACCACCTTACTGCACACACAGGAGAACGATGAGCGATAAGAGCACTCCAATGTGTGACTCCAGTAGCCGGTGAATGCCAATTGGCTGCCGAACACACACTGCATCGCACAACGCCATGCGCACCGAACGCGAAAGCATCACAGGACCACAAACCTAAGATTTTTCCTAGCAAGAGCAGTTGAATAATAATATTAGAACACCCAATAAAACAAATAAAGGAGAATAAATAGAATGAGAAGCAGTGAAAACAAAACAAGCTTGTATTAAAGCTAGACGGGTATAAAATTATAGAGTCGCGAAAACAAACTGTTTCACTTTCGCAGGCACAGAGAAAGATTACTTTGAAGAGTTAGGAATGAGGGGTTATTCCCTTATTTGCGATAGCCTGGAATGGATTCCATGAAGAAATTCACATTTAAATCAGCCTTTTCATTAACTTGAACAAAACTCTTAAACCCAGTGAGTTGTGACTTCAAGGCGTCAGTAGAAGACGCGTACAGCATACGTTCGCGAACAGAGGCAGTATCGGGAATCCTAGAGCAACTCCAACAAGGGTTAAAAGACATACCATGAGACAAGTAGTAGATCCGACTTATTGTTATCTGGCTCAAAGTCAAGAACTGCATAACGTGCGCACTTTTCGAGGCTCTCAAGCTCAGCCTTGAAATCATCGAATGTGCAACCTGCAGCAACACTAGGGGATATATCTAAAAGGCATACGTCTCTCTCCTATTTTATCGACGATGATTTCCTTCTGTTCTTCGATTTTATACAAAATATACCGACAATTCTTCTTTAATTTGAGTTCATTGTACTTAGCCAGACATTCGTCGGAGCACCTTACACCAGAAGCCTAGAGGAAGTAAATGAGCCAAGCCCCACTAACCATCCTCCACAGGCGTCTGAAGCTGCGTATAATAGATGCGCAGAACCAAAGCACTTAAACAAAAGGCATTTGAATGCAAATTAAGAATGGCAACTTGTAAAAGTATTAGGCAATAAAGTCGTTATATCAATAAGCATATTAAATACGTTCATTGAGTGCCACCGCACCTTACATTTTTCGGCAAATTTACACCTGGTACATTTAGATCATTAGTAAATGAGAAATCGAGTAGCAAAGCTTATAGCCATCCCTTTATCACGAAAGTGCCTTGGTCTCTTAATCTAACAAAAAAAATTAAAATTATTTACTGAGTTTTTTAAGTGGACAAAATACTTTGTTTTCAAGTGAAATCAAGTAACTTATAAAATGTGTGATGAATAATTTTTGGTTATACCTAAATTTTCCGAAATTTTTGCCACATCTAACAAAGCTTCTAATGCACAAACTTTCTTCAGAACTAGCTTATATTCTGTTTAAAAAGTCTATTTAGACTTATTTGTATCCTGAAATAACGTTCATGCAACATGATGGGCCGGATGTTAATGCAAGTCTTGGACTAATAGCATCGTTATTCAAAGTATAAAGCAAAAATATTGATTTTGCAGCCACAATAGATTAAAACATTGGCGTAGGTGGCAACATACATGGCCATGGAACTACGCCTCCATGCGGAGGTACAAACTGCATAGGCAAAACTGGCGCAGGCAAGGTACGTATTAAGCAAACGGGTAATTGTTGTGTAACGCAGTAGTGGTTTATCCCTTGGTATTGGTGAGGCGCCACTTTTGTACCTCGCTGGGTGGGCTGGCCTTCGGGTCATTCCAGTGGTCCAGACACTTTTGTGTTGAATATACATTCTGCCCGAGTATTGTGTCTTCTTTCGTCTTCAGGGAAGTCTCGGGACGCTACATCTATCTCTTGTAATTTTTTTTGAATTTTACAGCTCTGGCATCAAGGCAATCCTCAGTAGTAATTTTGTACTCCGAGGTAGTCTACGACATGTATCGGCTCGCACACACGGAGAAGCCCAAAATTAGTGTAGAAACGGATCTCTCCCCTCCCCCCCCCTCGAAGCTTTAACACTGTCTAAATTCTCCACACTGGTAAATCCTGAATTGAGGAAGCCAGGGTCAAATCGGCACACAATACTTCCGACTTCTGCCTTTTGAATCCTCTGTCCCGAGATACGTGTTTCGCACTCAGCTTTGGGCATCCGCGTAATACCAGAGAAGTCAGTCACCTAAGCACATCCCCCCACCCCTCGATGCAATAACAAGGAATGGGTGAAAAATAGTTTATTAACCTTAAGGTAGACTCAATAATATGTATATATAATGCATGAGGATGCAAGCAGAATACGTGTGAAAAGTAGACATGATGCGAGGTTCCTCGCCTTTAAAATCCACAGATTTCTTCTCTCGTCAACGTCTCCTCTTCATCAGTTCTCCAAGAGTTAATTAATCCGTCAAAGACAAGAATGCGAGAAAAAAACATCTTCATCGAATTTACTCCATTATCCAGATGCAAAACGCGTATGGGCGCGTAGGAAGGAGGGAAAGGAGCAGGTCTGACGCGGGTGGATGAAAGGGGAAGTTATGGACGCTTCGTGTTTGACACAGCACAAACAACACGGACGAAACAGAGTAAGGTTGGGTGGATAGGGGTGGAGCGGAGCGGAGGCGAGAGTATGAATCGGAGAAAGACTGGCGCGATGGATTAAATAAAATAGCGTCTCTACGGATCAGTACAGAACAGGGCAATGTGGTGTGGTAGAATCAGAAAAATACATGTGCGGCGAGTGTCTATCGATTGGGTGATTCAGTGGGTGAGTGAATTCAAGTATCTCTATTGGTCTTGCTTGCTGTGTGCTGAAGTGACATGAGACTTCATGTGAGCATTCCTGCTCTTCACTTTGGCAAAGCAGCGGCCACACTTACGACAGGGGAACCCCTCCACACTCCCCTCCCTCGCCGCCTCCACCACTGTCACTACCGCCGTCGTCGTCTCTAGCTCATGCGCCGTAGGAGCACCATGTTCTTCAAACTCACGAATCTAAAAATTACGAAGGCACATCGTTACCACGTTCTCATCATTCGACAGCGCAGTTAGTACGAAACCATTCGGTTCTACTCACGACAGGAGGTGGGAGGTCGATGTGTTTCCTGCGCAAATTGTACGACACCGAGGACGCAACACCCCCCTCAACACCCAAGGCGGGGGGCACTTCAAGGCCAAATGGCGCTCGATGGAAAGGGTTTTCCAGATCAGTAAGGTCACAGATCTGGTTGATGGGTGGATGAGCCGCCTCTTCGGGTACAGGTCGCTCGCTGCGTGTTGGAACACTCTTGCGATGCACCCGACCTCGGTAGCTAGTAATGTAGAACCGCATTACAACAAGTGATGGATACTAATCTGACTAGTAAAAGAAACCCACCGATTGACCTCATGAGGTGTGTTCATTCGTTTCCAGACGTAGTAGAATTCGACGCAAGCTTTCACCGATTTATTCATTCCATAGGCTCGGAGCTCGGCTGAAACTTGTTGAAAGTCCTTGTCGTGACGACGAAGACTAGTCTGAAATTTCTCAATCTCTTCTGTAGTCCAGTACTCCGTTTCTGAAAATAAAAAAGGGGTGAATAATCAATATTTCCGGAAACTGACCCACCGGAGTAGACCCGATCAAATATGGTGAAGGACTCGTGCAGCAGGGCACGCAGCGTCATCTCGAAATCGCCCTGGAATTTGCAAAGCAAATGGAAGGTGTACTCCATGTTGAGACCGCAGTTCCTAACCACTGGGGAACGTGCCAAATTCATAAGGTTGGCCACTAAACAAGCGAATAAAGCATTCGAGTTATTCAAAACATGAACACACAAGTAGACTGTGAGTAGTAAGGCTCACAAGATTCCCTCGTTTTAAGATCATTTTCATCGATATTCTTTGGATTCCAGACAAGAATATCGTATACACGAGTATCATCATGGTAAGCACCGACAACATCAACGAATTCTGGCACCTCCGCCTGATAGGCAGTTCCAACGTTGATTTTCCTACAAGTTAAATAAACTTGCTGCTCAAAACGAAATGTAGAGATGAATTCTCAGCCGTGAAAGTGAGAACGCACGGTTCAAAGTTACTGGGCACACCGATGTCTTCAACAATGTCGTCCTCAGATTCGTCCGCATCTTCCTCATCTTCGTCCACGCGGGGACGCACCGGTGAGGCTTCGGAACAACAACAACAAGAGGATGATGAGGAAGAGTGGGGGAGGTTATTAGTGGCATTTGCGTTGATGGCAGCAATAGTGGTAGCGGTGCCAGTTCGGTGTGGTGAATGAGTACTCGCCTCCTCCGTATTAGGCGTGTCTTTCCTTCCGCCCGCCACGCCACCACTAGCCTCCGCCACAGACAACATTGAGGTGAGTTCATCATCCTCGTCCCCGAAAAAGAGCGGTTTTGAAGCCCGGCACCCTTCCTCTTCTGCCAATTCTGGTGTCATTGCACGCATGGCAACTGTTGGTGGAGCCCCATCGTCAACGACAACACTACTACTCAAGGTCTAAAGGGAAATAAGGTAAAGAATAAATTATTAACACTATGTTCCAGCTCATTTATCCATATTCCCATGATTTTTTACGGCTTCATGGTTGACTTGAGATACCATATTAAGCATTTCAGACTTCTTCTTTGCATAAAACTCACCCTGGAGGAAATGTCGAACAAGTTTTTGACAAAAGCTGGCGCTGATTTCGGCGGACCAGGTGGAGAGATGTGAACTGCTACCGAGGCAGCAAAAACAGAGGTCTTGTGGACTCTGGCGGCAGTCGTTGCACAAGAAGAGGTACCGACAGCTCCAGTGGTAGTAGAAACACGAAGTTGGGAAGTAGCTGTGCGCGGCAGGCGTTTGAAGCGAGCGATCGATGAGAAGAGGCCCGAGCCGCGACGATTGGGCGAGAGCATCGGAGGTGGAGTGTATGGTGGCGGTTCTAGCAGAGTCCCCAATCCTGCTGCTCCCATCAATGCCGTACTGGCTTCGCCGCCACCTAAACCATCACTGGGGCCATTCACAGTCCACAAACGCGGTGAACGAAGTCGAGATGGATTTATTCGGTGGGTAAACTGCAGTAATGAAGAACATGTGCAAGAATGCAGAAAAGGAACCCTAGTTTAACGAGGATCAAGGCTCTAACCGAAGGAATGACAATGGGAGCCGGTTTCCGCTTGACCTTCTTTAACACCGAGGCTGATGATGATGATGCAGACAGTGGTGGAGTTTGTGGGAGTGGAAGGGTAGGAAGAGGAGGGGGTAAAAGTGGTGGTGGCTGAGGATTTCTAAAAACATTGCCTTCTTCCGATGCACTTGCCATTTGTGCAGACTTGTGCATCGGGACGCAGCCCAATTCAAAACACTGCTTCTGTGTTTGATGTGAAGATTGCGGTGATGGTGGTGGCGGTGGAAGAAGCTGGGGAATCGGAGTAACCGGACGTCGAATGTCCTTCGTCGCCTCCTGAGATGCTAGCAGAGGATCCAGTTCATCGGGGAAGAAAACCCGTTCTTGACTAGGCATCAGGGGCACCGAATAAGCCGCCTGAGTCGAAGTGGAGCTGTAGGAGTAAGCACGTGGTTGACCGTCGTGCGCGTTGTGCTGCGGTGTCATCGGGTGGCGCATTACCAATCTAAAAAAGACTGCTCAATTACTCCAAGGCGACATTTCTAAGATATTTGTCATTCCCGTTTAGCCAGAACTTTGCAGGGATTGAGTCTCATGGCAGTGCCATTGAATCACGCTCACATACTCCACACTCTAGTTTTCCTGCTTTTCCGCGTGGCTAGAGCAAAGCCGCTCTGAGACCGGCACACCGTATAACGACCTTAGGGATAACTTCGGGAAAAGGGCTACTCATGATGTCATGGGAAAATGTTGGCAAATTACTGATTACTAATGCATGAATATAGGGAAATTAATTTCTTACTCATCATAACCGGGGTAAGCACAGAGTGCTCTAGATCGTTGCCCGTACAAAGACGGCTGATGTTGCTGTTGCTGTTCTTGCAGCACAAACTGATTTGAGCCGATACCATGGGATAATGAGGACACAGGAGTCGACACAGAAGCCTCCTGTTTATTCTCTTCTCGCAGCGATATGTAGAGACCGGAGGGCAATGCCTCGTGATAAGTCGGCACCCCTTGTGATAGTGTAGGTGGTGGTGGTGGAGGTGAAAATGGACCCATCGGGGCAATCGATGAGGGCGGGGAGAGCATCAACTCAACAGAAGCCGGGGCCTGGGAAATCCACTTATCTAGTTAACAAAACGAGAGCAATTGAACTTCCTTTCTAATTGACAATTTAAAAGGCATTCTACTTAAATCCAGCCAAGTAAAAACTCACTTGTTTCTTCAAAGGATGTAGACTTTGGTGGACAAGGGCAAAGAAATTGTTGCTGCTGCGGTTGTGGTTGCGGCTGCATTGGAGGTGAAGCAGTAGACACAGAGGCTAGAAGAGCATCGGTGGGAGGAAAGGTGAAGGCTGAAGAGGCTGAGGAGGAAGCGCCGAACCCCCCCGAAGCCGGGGTTATAGGTGAGTAGTGCGGTTGGGGCGCACCCGAAGTTGACGTGCCGCTGTCGCCACGTTGATGATAAGGGGAGGAAGAGGCTCCGGGGAAGAAAACCGACTGCTCCGCACCAAGCATAGTGAGTGAGGAGTCGGGATAGTCACCACCACCACTGCTGTTACTACCGCTATGATGCTGGAATTGCTGTAGCGCCATACGGGAAATGTACCTACCTAAAAGAAAAAAAATTGGTTAAATCATGGACCAACACGCCTCCGTTTCTGGCAATTATTTATTCAGATTCACTTTGATCACGGAGAACGGTTGGGGCAGAATCTAACAGTTGAAGGTTGTTGAAGATAGGATCCATTTCCTTACGTCCACGCAACGACTGTGGGGGCGGTGGTGGTGGGGGTGGTGGTAGTTGAGTCGGTTGATGTGCAATCCAGGCGTGTTCGTGAGCCGCTGGGTCTGCTCGAAACTTATGTGGTGACGAGGGCCCACTAAAAGTAGTGGATGAAGGATGCTTGCGAAATCCAGAACCTCGATGCACAGCCGTTGAAGGAACAGCATCGGACTCGTTGAAATGCAGTTCTGAGTGTTTACGCGGAAGATCCGTCCTTGCTGGATTGTAGACTCCCTATAAAAACATAATTAACCTATTTGCAATAATTTTGTAAAATAAACAAATTAGATAATACAGACGACAGATCAGTTTACCGAGGAAGGTTGACTGAGACTTTGAGTTGGCTGCTGCTGATTGGCGGTAGAGGCGTATTGAGACCAAGGGCGCACCGATCGAGAGGATGTTGCAGCAGTGGCGGAGACACAGGGCACCACCGTGGTACCGACAGTAGCTGTAGTAGTGGGCGTGGAAGGCCAATTAAATAGACTTGCTGAACTTTCTGATTTGGCTTCGGGAAGATCACGAAGCAACATAAGAGACTCGTTTAACTAAAAAAAGCGGAGGGCAAAGGATCAAGAGTTATGGAAGTGAAAGGGGGAGAAGTGTACACTTTCGAAAGCGATTCTAGAAAATTGAATTAGAGTTACTTCTGTAAATCCACTGATGTGCCATGCTATTCGATCTTGGAGTCATTTCAGCTAAAGGAACCAAAAAAAGCAATAACAGATCCTCATACATTATTACACCTAAATCAATGGTATTATTTGCTGTAAGGTAGCGTTCCCAAAACAATGTCAAGCCGAGAGACAAAAGAGGTGATGCGTTTCTTTATTCTCCACCTTCACTAACCGTCGATTGTGATGCAACTAATAGTAAGAAATGGTGATGACAATAATGCATATTCTTGTACTGGTACGTGACACCAATCAGCAGTCACCCACCACGTCTCCTCAAAACGTCTCTTCGGGCACGAGTTGTTGCTGGTGCTGCCTCCACGCTCCCTATCTACGTTCCCGCTTACGTTCCATCAAAATCAAACCTCCGCGATCTCACTTCTTCCTTCATTCCATTCTTTAATGCGGAGGCATCGTCGAACTCATCACGAATCCATTAGCCACACCCCCAGTCAACTCAAAGTGTTCTTGGACATGACACCTCTCAGTCCTAGGGCGTACATACGTTTGGAATGAAGTTTTGGATGTCTCCAGAAAGTAGCCTTGAACGCAAAGCCGATCTTCTAAGTGCATTCTAGTGGACAAGATTCCTTTATCATCTTAACTATTCCTCGTTGTTTTTCAAACTCCAACTACAAACGACCTCAAAATCCAAAATTCTCGAATATTTCAAACTGAATAAACTCTCATCCAAGCGTTGACATTTTTATCTTATGGTTGCACCAACTAGCCCATCGCCCTAATCACACAGAACAGGATACAGAGGAAGGATGTAACCGAGATTTGATTGGGCAGCGTTAATTGACACCTCGGAATTTGAGAGCGTAGGGAAGGGAAGGAGTGGAGCAAGAGACAGATCTGTGGCAAGGAGGGGAGAGGTGAACGGGGGAGGTCTATTTAGACGGTACGTAGACTGCAATTCCCATCGGAGAGGCGACAAAAGTATTCCCTTTTCCTTCCCTCATGCCACTTGGTGGCATCCCAGTAGTCTCACCAGTTTTGGCAGTCTCAAAAGACTCTAGGATGGCTTTTCGAGCAACAAACATCTACTTATCTTGTTGGAAGGGTTTGAAAATCAAATATTTTCTCCACTAATCAGGTGAATTGAACAATGATGGCTGGATAAAGTAGAATCAGCAGATGAGTAAAGTGGAGTTCAAAAAAAGATATGCCAATAATTTAGAATAAACCATTACATTAAGTTCTTATTAAATGCAAGTGGGCAAAAAGGATAGTCAAACTGAAAGGTGGAGTCCTGAGGTAAATTATGAGTGCCTTATGAAGTCAATTTTGACATTTATGATGGATTAAAAACGGAAACTATAGCACATATTACAGTGGATGTAGAAGAATTGAAAAAGGGGCGATTCTTTTATTGTATCAATGGAAAAGGAGGTAGTTTTCTTTAAAAAAGGACATCAGGACGGCAATACTGATAAGGAGATTTAACCCCAACTTCTCAATATTCTCAGCATTTTGAGGAAGTAAATGACCCAGTCGCCAATAGTAAACAAAATGGTTTAAATCTGACCCTTATCACCAAGGTTAGAAGGAGAGGTATCATCAAATCGGCTGCGAATTTAGATTTTTGACCAATCAGAGGGTGAAAGGGATTCTCTTCATTGGGAGGATAGAGAGAGGGGGGAATAAAGAAAAGGCCTCAATGACATTTGTGTTTAATCTTTATGACTCCCGAGGGAGTTGCCACCGCGACAATGGAGTCAATAAGTCATAGGATTTATCAATATTCCCCAACTAAATAGGTTCACCCCGTGGACGCACTGCGGAGGGTGTAAAGGGGTCTGGCAGTTGGGTTAGTAGAGGGTGGGTTTCAACAGCTGTCATTTCTCGACAGAGATGAAGCGCGGAAGTATCGTCCACACACACAGAAGTGATCAATCAGAAATGAGTACGGATGAAATAGACATGGGTCTGATGACTTGGGTACATCTCACCGAGGCATGATCAAGAGATGTGGCCCACTAGTAGCATACAAAATCGTTTCAGGCACTGTGCGGATGATAAAATGAATACACCCTCTACGAAAGATGCTCCGTTTTTGCTGCTATCAAGTTTACACTCGGTTTCATCTATTTGCTTCAACTGCAATCTCGAAAAGGCCTGAGAAGCCTATCAATCCCGAATTCTGCCTTTTTACACTGTCCACTATCAAGGCATCAAACAGTTCTAGTCCTGTGAAATACTCCATCTCAAGGCCTCCTACGTGAAGTTAGAAGCCATTTCTAGAAAAGAAGAGATATTTAATTCCGTTGATTGACAGTTTCGTCAGAAGTGTTTTTCCAATTTCACGCGATAATATGTTAATGTATTGTAATACTTTGATTGGCTGTTCAACTCTTCATTTCGGCTTCGCGGGCACTTAAGGCTCCGTCTTTGTACCTCCACTGGGTGGAATGGCCTCTGGGCCACATCAGTAGCCCTCCAGCCCTTCCAGACGATGGCAACATATATTGGCCCGTTATTATGACTTCCTTCGTACTCAAGAATGAATTGGAGCACTATATCGGTGGCCCCGGAATGCAAACCCGATCCTAAAGGACAGCTGCCCTAACTTCCACTTTTGAATGCTAACCCTCGACGTGGCGGAAGAAGGACATCTGCTGCAGATAGAATGCGTGACGATCCATAACAGAAGGGTCGAAAACGGCGTCTAACTTCAGTATCTACCCCAGTCTCGTGTTCTAAAGGGATGTTGTTAACAACTGAGCCGACGCCAACCGTCAACCATCTAGAAAAGTCCATTACGAAGCTCTCCATGGTACCTATATGAAGATGTGACCACGCAATACCTCCTTCACCTCTCTACTAGCTGAACAGAAGCCAGACAGATATGGGGCTAGGAAGCACCGAATTGAGAACAAAGTGGCAAGAGAAAAGAGACACAAAGCCTCATCCCCGCAAAATTATTTCAAACCCCGTCCCTTATTCAATGACTCTGCTTTTAGGCCAGTGTTCATACGATTAGCGATGGACATATGTGATAGCCAAAGTATTCCCCTTCCCTCAATACAGTTCCCAAGCAGGACGAAACTCCGGATCCAGTGGAAGTGTCAAGAGGGACCAGTGACGTTGCGGTCAAATATATGCCCAGTTGCACGTAAATTTGATGACTAACGCGGTTCTTACATCACTAAGTGAGTTGTAATGATCGATGTGGGAGACTGACTAAGACGATCACTGGGGACGGAGATGAGGGCTTTGTATTGCTTTTAGTACTCGTTTAACTCTTCATCCTGGTTTTGTGGGCACTTAAAGCCTCCGGACCATGCCAGTAACCACCAACCTTCCTGTACGCCGCCAATACACTTTCTGTCCTAGAATTATGTCTTCTTCCTGCTTCAGGAATGATTAGGGACGCTACGGCATCTATTTGCTTAGTCTAGGTTTAATCTATATGGAATTGGAACCTATTCTGCCATCCACCATGTTTCCTTACCCTTCTATTTTCTTGCAAATAATCGCAACTCATACGATAACGTCGAAAAAATAACAAATAACTCCGTTTCAGATACCATTTACTCAATAAACTTTTCATTCCAATGATTATGTCAGTGAACCATTCAACAAGGTGTCCGAGCTACCAGAAGGCTGTAAGCACTGGTCTTTTGGTTTCTAGCAACGCATTGCCGACTTCTTCAAGACCAAGTTTACAACCATATAATGATGTAATACATTTACCTACTTGGTCGGTGATGAATTGATGCGGAATCAGGATCTATACGGTTATCTAACGCGTTTCTTACCTTCACAACTCACTAAACAGTTGCAAATTTGATGACAACTTTGAAGAACCTTGAGATAACCCAACTTACGACTCTAAGGCCAGCTTAATCTCAAAAGTTGGATGGACGGAGTAAAGGCAACAGCTCGATGTTTTGAGGGTTACTTGCACAAATAACCTTGAAATAAACAGGGTCCAAGATCAGACACTTTGACCCACAGGAAGGTTCATAAAAGCCACTTTTAGCGAATGTTCGATGGCCTCCACTTTGCTAACTTTTGTTCAAGGGTCGTATTTTCGGGACCCATTTAAAGGTTCAGTATAATTCCTTACCATAGAGCTTCATTCCAAACGTATGTACGCCCTAGGACTGAGAGGTGTCATGTCCAAGAACACTTTGAGTTGACTGGGGGTGTGGCTAATGGATTCGTGATAAGTTCGACGATGCCTCTGCATTAAAGAATGGAATGAAGGAAGAAGTGAGATCGCGGAGGTTTGATTTTGATGGAACGTAAGCGGGAACGTAGATAGGGAGCGTGGAGGCAGCACCAGCAACAACTCGTGCCCGAAGAGACGTTTTGAGGAGACGTGGTGGGTGACTGCTGATTGGTGTCACGTACCAGTACAAAATATGCATCAGTGTCATCATCATGCCTTACCTCCACCACCTATTAAATCCTTCACAGCCGACACCTGCCCACTCAAAAGATGAAACGTCAAGAGACAAACTAACCAGTCAAAGGTAGTAACAATATTGCCTCCTTACAACGGGCAGATGAAAAAAAACCAAATTAACAGACTGAGAAAATAAACAAATAAGAACAATCGGATGATTTATGCACAAGATCTATGAACACCAATTACCTTTTCTTATTCTGAATCAGAGAAGGTAAGACTGAGAGGAAGAGAGATAAAAGGAGTCATTTTGGTCTCCAAGACGGGTTTACAACCCCCCTCGCCCCCTAGAACAATACCAAGTCCAATCTTATTCAGTGCATCGAACGTGGAGCAGTAAAGAGAGCATCTACCATGTACGGCTGACTTTGAAGAGTCACACAACGGAAGAATTGCTGGAGGTGTGACGCCTTTTGGAAACCACTTCATTTTCGTGATCGAGAATAGAACTAGATAATGTTTGAATGAATCAAAATATTCCCTAAAAACACTTATGTTTCACGAATGGAGGGCGAGAGGAGTGAAAACAGGTTGCAACTATGCGATGCTAGTTAATCCAATTTCTCTAATCAAATGATCTTCAAATTAAGCAAATGTCAACGAGAAAGACGATAAGCGTTCAGGATGCACTTTCTGCATAAAATACACCGCCCAGCCTTCAGCATTTCTTCCCAAATGAATACATCCTCAATGCAACAGTTTGCTTGTCATTAGAAATGAAATTTGGTTAAATAGCCTTTTCAACCTTTGAAATTTGGGTTACACGAAGCTCTAAATAACGTGAATAACTACTCTTTAAGGTACTAATGGATTCGCTTCCAGGCGCGGAGGCCCTATAACCCCTTCAGTGTTAAAACTGAAATGAAAATCGATGCACCGGTACGTACCGATCGACCACTAACTCCCAACGGCAATTGCTGTGCTTGTTGCTGCTCCTGCTGATGCTTCTTTAACTTAGCTGCAGTCGCTGAGGCAGCAAGGGGTGTCGATGATGGGGAAGGTGGTTGCGGTGGCTGTGGCGGTTGGGCCTTAGCAGAGGCAGTAACACCAGGTGCGTGATTCAGTCCATACCCCCCATGGAGACGCATGTGTCCATTCAACGCGGATTGGTTCTTGAAGCGCCGCGGACAGAGGCTGCAAGCGACTACTCTTGGCTCCTCCAGTGGCAGAGCCATTAGAACCGCCTTGAGGCGCTCCGAAATTGCGGGACTGACGCGTCCGCTGGCTCCACTACCACCGCCATCACTGCCTCCGCCATTGGAGCCAGCGACGGCGGAGAGCCATGGCGAGTTTCTGCCGTTGGTGACTTGAGGGAAGATAGAGAAAAAAAGTCAGAAGGTGCCAATGCAGTCGGTGAGCGTTATAATGTGCTGCACAAAATTGTGATTCAAATTCGGGATTATTTGCGTGAGTTTCTCGGTTATCCTGAATCAGGGTCTCCACACTGGTAGTACAGAGCCATCTATCCATACCAATCTCATTCTACCAGACTGACAGCTTCTATGCATGCTGATAGAAAGACTATATTTAGATTCCCAGAATCGATGAGGTGTTCAAAGACAAGTATGGATGAACATTGGTGAGAGCGTTGAACAGCACAACAAAGTGCTGTAGAAGACACACGCTACAGATAGCTGAAGGGATGCTAGAAGAGTGTCAGCCTTATAGGGAATCACCCTACAGTGAGTAGACAGGAACAAGACTAGAGTTAGACAAACAAGACCATTTCACCAGTAAATGACAACAGCAAACTACGAAGATGAATTGAACAATCAATACCCTTCCAGGTTACAAAAAGCTAGGAACAACCAAGATGGACAGGTTGACAGCAATGAACTACCGTCGAAGAGGACGGAAGGAATGAATACAAAACTCGGCTTCGTGAGGCCAACTTATGCTATATGAGACACGCTCGCCATGGGAGGTTGCCGCATGATTGTTAGAGTTTCAATTAAAAGAGTCTGTTTTTTACTACTAACGAAGGATCAGAGTGTGATGTGCTACATTGGGTTGGAACAAAGGAGCTTGCGTAGCGCAGCAGTCTGAGACGATAAAAAGGGGTGGGCACATTATGACTCACTGCTTTTATTGCCTTTTGACAAGAGCGAACGTTCCAAGGGAGACCGAGATAGGAGAACAGGTGCAACCTAGTGAGACTAGACGCAACCTCCGATCTCTACAACCGACTCTTACGTTTTATCACTCCAGATAAAACAAAGTGCAACTTTTTATCACGTTGACTGATTTAGGAAGAGTTCATCAGTATTCTCATCACCTCATAAACCCTATTCCTAGTTTATCCATTAATAGGATGTAAATAACGCTGTAGATAGTGGGAACCCCAGGAGCAGGCGGAGGTGCCTTCCTAGCCAATAACCAAAGCTACTAGTTCAAAATCCAAACAACAACTCTGCTCGTGACATTATGATTGACATTAAAATACTTGAAGCACTCTTAATTGTACTACTGAACAATTGCCACCGGATCTACGACGGATCAAGTCAGCGCGACCAATGACTACAGTGAGACGGGAGGGATAATAGCGGCTAGGTTCTTCATAGGTGGGTGATGAGACAGCAGTAGACGAGTGGCCTTCTTATCAGTGAAGAGAGGCTAGATGGCTGCGAATATAGGAGTGGCATGAACGAAACCAACTTCCCCCTGTTGATAGGATGGGCGAGTCGCGAAGTTATAAATTCGATGACAACGATGCTTCAAGTTGCGGCTAACATATATGCATCCGATTGGATTGAAACCAACCGTGTGAGAGAAACAAAGATGTATGTTTTCACAAAAGGATATTCTAACACAAGCCCCAACCAAAAAACTAGTGCCGAAAAGCAGTCGGTCACTTTAAAGCCTTAAATCTCTACGTGGACAGAGGGACCCACCTACTTCGACGGGCATTAGGCAACATTAGCAGTAGTGACTGAAATAGATTTCCACACGCACATACACGCACGCACACCACGTCGAGCCACCTAATTGGCTGGAGAGAAAGCCAAGATGCAGTTGGCCTTGCCGCGTCATACACACACAAAGCCATGTCTTGCCTTGCCTCCACCACCATCGGCACCGTCTTGATCGTGCGCGCGTGCCGTATGCCCGTGCGTGCACGCACCGTGGAAGGGACTTTTCTCTACTCCCGCATCAGACACGACAAGGAGGGGAGGGAGGATAGTAATTAGGCATGGGGTGGGGGTGGGAGGAGATTGAGTGAAGTAAGACAGCAACATGATGCGACACAATGCGCTACGTGGCAGAGGGCAGGATAACGCAACAATGGTGAGTCGACCCCATGATGGTTTAGTGGGCGAAGCGACGTCCGTTTCTGACCTGATGCACCCCGTGTTTTTAGCTTTCCATTTTCTCGATAGGGCAAGCTATGAGCACATAGGATCGTATCTTGCCGTTCCCACAACTGCTACCACATTAAATGAGCACTGGTATTCGCAGAAGCTCCGTTGGAACTACCGATCTTTCTGATGGTCTAAATTCAATTCGATACTGATGTGTCACCAAAACACTGATTTATCACACTCATATTTAATGAAAACTCGTACACCTTACTGTTATAAGAATAAAGAACCACAGAAGAATGACAGCTGCTTTAATTGTGCGCACGACTATGCGTGCCTTTTCAGCCGCCTCAAGATTCGGCCTCCATGGTGTCAGCGTGAAGTTTTGAAATGTCCACCTTCTCAGCTGGTCGCCCAGCCCCTCTGAGGTAATTATAGCAGTAATATCTCCAGACTCAAATGCTTTATAACGCCGTGCTGTGGGGTAACTCAAGAGAAAGAAACCTACATAAACAGCTAAAGCAATGAAAAAAAAAACACGATCAGTGTGGTGCTGCGACTACCAGCTTAAATATTTGTTTTGGTTTTGCGGGCACTTAAGGCACCACCTTTGTGCTTCTGCTGGGCGAAATGCCCACCGGGCCATGCCAGTAGCCTCCCAGCCCTTCTGTACATCGGCAGAATATATTTGGCACTCGAAATATGTCCCCTTTCGCCTCCAAGGGGACATGGGCAGCTACACTAAAATGAACAAGTTGAAACCGTCTGCAAGAAGGTACTCGCATCATTGATGTAGACACTGGGCGAAAAAGGGGGATTCGATGCCTCCTCGTTATCAGAATCAGAGATGACGACTGATAATTGAAGCCTACTAACTGTTGAACATCGCCTAGCCTTCAAGACACCAAAAATGCAGTCCTACAATACTATTTACCAGAGGACGTGGCTTATGAAGCAACCGGAGTCTACGATGAGCCGAATTGGAGGGCCCTCCAGCGGTAACGGGAGGTCACCATACCACTGTCAAACATATTTCGCGGTTGATTTTAATTATGATGGCCAATGCGAAAGAACAATCAAAATGAGAGTTAAAGCTAAATAGGGGGGAGGGGGGAAAGGAAAAGAGGGATGCTTCATTCCGCTTAACCATTAGTGTTAGGCAGACGCTTTCCAGTCTCCTGCAGTATCTGCGCTACTAGTCTCTCATCCCCTTAGTGTGTTGCTAACAAAGGCCATTACAAAGTGGTGGGCCTTTTAATGCCTGCCGTGGAGATTAGCACTAAAGATTTAGGACGTCCCCTTAACATGGATTTCCAATCAAGAGACGATAGAGGGGTAAAAGCCCACACCTAAGAAATACAAATTGTCGGTTCCCACTGCAATAGTGTATACGCATCACTGAGGCCGTGGCTTTGATAGCCCAACCGCTACTACTGCTACTTTTCAAACCGAAGAGTCCGAAATACACAAGCAGTATAAAGTTTGACAATTATTACGTCTGTCACATTTGGCCTCCACTGCTCGATATCGTAAAGGTCCACCGGACTTAGTTGCCCTCCTTCAAAACCAGACCTCTTCGTAAAATGAGCTAGACAGGTTGAAATGGGGAATAAAGGACTTCACTGGATTAATAATTAGAGTTGAAGATTCATTTTAAATATGACATCTAATTTGCTGAATTGGGACCAGGATGAATAAGCTGGAAAGCAGTGTGACTAAAGTAGTGAATAGCGTTAGGTTTCGTTGTTGATTCCATTGTATTGTAGTACTTTGTTTGCTTACCTCTGTGCTTTCGTAACGGGCCACTTAGGGACTCTGCCACTGTACCCTTGGACGTCGACAAGGCCTCCGGGTCATTCCAGTAGCCCTAAGACCTACTATACTTCGAAAATACATATTCTGCTCAAGCATTACGCCTTTTTCAGCCTCAGGACGCTACAGTATGACTTGAGATGAGTCCACCTGCAAACACTCAACTCTCCATTATGCTTAACCCTGATCTCAGTCTAGCTTTCAAAGGAAAGCATTGGTTACCTTAATTATATCTACAATCAAGTAGTCCTTTCCAGCCTCTGTGATGGCGGCGTAGATGTGAGATGAAACAGCAGAGGTACTAAAGACTCAAACTTTGGAAACAGGACATTTCATGCACCTTTGAAGCCAAGAATGCTGGCTGCAAGATCACATAAAGGTAGCGGATAGCTGTTAGGTCGGACTAAATAAGGGGTCAAAAAATAAACTTTACAGACATTCACAGGGCTTTTAGGACTGACTTTTAAAAAGGAAAGAAATTCCCTTTTAGTGTGATTGAGAGGTAGCTGATAACAGTCAAACAGAGTGATTTTCATTGGCATTATGCTTTAATTAAGGGAGAAAGGGACTAGGAGCCAGTGTAAAGGTTGGGAAAAGAAAAGATCTGATGATCCTTCACAGAGCTGTGACAAATACTTTTCCTAATGACATCTTTAAGGACGCGATTTCCTCGGATCCTGAGGTTTAAACTATCATCTTGGTATCATCCTGGTCTGCTCGCGCCTAGAGTCTCTCAGCTCCACGGCGCTTTAGAGGGAAGCCTTTAGCACTTACAGATATGGACCTTATTGCGTCTTCAGGAATTACTTGCGGCACTGCATTAGTGGTAGCGATCCATTTGAAATTAGGTTTTAGCTACCCAAAATCGGCATGGTATTCGAGGTACACAAAAAACACTCCATCTTGTTCCTTCTAAACAAACGTCACTGCTACAAGTGATTGGCGTATCGGATGCGTCTATTACACAGCATGCTTCAGGTTTAAGCACTGCAAATCGTCTCCTAGTATATGCCCTCTTCGTAGAGGATGCAAGACTCAGGGATCCCAAACAAATCTAACGAAATGGGTAACATTCTCTCTATAATGCAGTTCTGTCTTCCCGGGCTGTTGATTACAATAAACGTAGACTCGTTGAAGTCGGATCAAAAATGTGATTACAGGGAGCATCGGAGACGGTGTTTAAAAGGGAGAATGAACTACTTAACTACAATGATTCCCATTTTCGTGGCACTGAAGCCCACCCACATCCTTCAGCAAGAAGGTAGCAGCTTACTCTTCTAGGTCCTTACGTTTCATAACGTCTTCAGGGATGGGTCAGAGTTATGTAGCATCTAAGTATAACAGCGCCCATTGGAGGCGCAAATCTAAGATCAACGAGCCACCGCGGTCAGACCATTCCCAAAGGTATTTCCTCTCAAAAGGAAAGGGGGGGGGGGGGAATACAGCCAAAGTGGAGGTAAAAAGACAAAGAAAAATACCAAAACTTCGTAGAACTTTTAAGAAGAAGACTACTTCCCCATAAAAAGAGGGCAGTGAAACACACCTTTGGCACCAACGAGTTGTGCCAGGCTGTTGCCATTAGAGCTGGTGGAAGGGACGAAGGCAGAGGCGGATGAGGTAGCGACAGCAGCGGAGAGCTGTGTCATCTTGGCTACGGCCTCGGCGATGCTGGCCTCGCCTTCCTCAGCGGCTCGGGAGAGGAAGCACCAGGACTCGTACTCATCGGGGTGCGCATTCTCGTAGTGCCGACGCAGGGAACGCGCATCGCTGTAGGACTTGTCGCAGAACTGGCATCCATGTGGCTTCTTCGAAGCATGCGTCAACTTGTGACCATTCCTGCCGAGATGGAGATGGAGAGAGGGAGTAGTGAAACAAGGCCATTCCACTATAATACTGACATTGGCGGTGCCTATACCAATATGCATTGTACCTCACAAGGCAGCTCCAGAGAATGCTCAACTCTAGAGAGGTAGGAACGAGTAGCTTCTACTGACAATAATCATGCAGTAGATATGCCTGATTCTCAAGTATCGGAAATGGACACAACTAGACAAGGGATTACGAACTTACTCTCGTCTACCATAACAGGATTGTGCCCGTTGTAATCAAGAGATTTGACTATACGAGCCGACTCCCGCAGTGATGCTATTGAGCCCGGCTCATACCACCTATGCTGCAAGCTGCCCAGCCCCTCTGCACGCTTGGAAAAAAACAACTCTCGGGTTCTCATGGGTCGCAGCAACCTTGGGGATTACTCACAGCCTACATTAGTGAGAGCGTCGACGAACCCATGTTGAGACAATAGCTCCGCAAAGCTACTCTACGTTGAGAGTTACAAGACAGGCAGACTATCGGTGTTGCATGGACTACGTGATATCAGTTTCAAAGACCATTCAAATCTTTCAAGAACTGAAATAAACATTCGCTATTGGAAAAAGAACCACCGGAACCGTTTCGTAGCTCCGACAAAGTGCCATAATTGAGTAAAATTGAACCACTTATATCGACAGAAGGTAGGGACTATAATAAAACTCCATACCTTAGCCTCCTATAAAAGAAAAGCTTTCGAAGAGAAGTGAAGGAAAACCTTATTTATCGTTCTTCTTTGTATATATTTGCGTGCAAGTGTGTGTGAGTTGGCACTTCAGCCAAATAATGCACCATTGACGTCAGCAAAATCCTCTGACATTTGCACACACACGCGCATGAACACGAACGAATGAAGGCATGAATAAATGAAGAGTGAGGACTCAGTAAGACGACGCCACCCGCCGCCATTACAGCAGTACTCGTCATCGTCGTTGTTTGTTTACGTAGATAAAGGACAAAAAAATTTAGTCGCTAGCCAACGAAATGAGAAAGGAAGGGGGAAAGAGAATCATCTGAATATGATGTCAGTTGCAGCAGTACCTTGGCAACAGGTAATGGGTGCTATCACCATCATCATCATACATTTGGGATGGTAAAAGCGACTGCGACCAAACTTGATTACACAGCCTTTTAAAGTCGCCCAAGTTCTCCACATCAATCAAAAGAAAATGGAATCTCGATGATCAGATAATGGATATCCAACATTCCAGCCAGAAGTGAGGCTTCCCAGCATTATGTTGTGATATTGAAATCGGATTTTATGGTTTGCTTATCCTGAAACAAACACATACGAACACTGCAACAGTCCCACTGAATGCTTAAGCAGAGAACAAGATGGAAACCTGGGATAGAAGAAAATAGGTGGAATCAGACATTGGTGAAGTGGTCTGACTGATCTAGTCAGAAATTTGATCAGGCTTTTCTTAAACAGTGATGAAATTGCCCTCTAAATCCTACCCTCAGCTCCTGGAATAATCAAATTTACTTAAAAACGGCGTCTTTTGAGGAAACTTTACCCTTCTCAGGAGGAAAATTAGGTCCAATACAGTCACCCGTCGTCAGGAGGTAGCAATTCGGCAGGACAGCTTGAGTGGAATAAAATAAGGAAACTGACCACTGATTTTTGCAAAATTATGGTGAAACACCCCTTCAATCGGCAACTTTCATTCTGAAAATGATTCCTCCTCTCAGAACAAGTCAATCTGCTTTGGAAGACAAATTCAGTCCTGAAACGCTCAAGATCTTACTGAAAATCTATAAAGTGGCAACTTGACATTGAATTCCGGTCACAATAAAAGGGCAGATGGCATCTGAATTCCTCACAACACAAAGTGGATCCCTTTCAGGAGGATCCAGGCTGCTCTGAATTGCAATTCAGCCCTGAAATACCACGGATTTCAAATGGAAGTGAATACATACGAGACTCAATAAGGTAATGGTAGACATACTCCAATGACGACAGCTTCCGGTTTGTTCCTGAAGCAAGGTCTTTTCAAAAAGGCCTCTAAGCCTCCTGTTCCACCATTAGGTCAGAAATTCACAATCTCACGTCCCCACCTTGCACTAGATTGAACAAAGCATGCGACTTCTTGATTTACTGAAGTCCTGAAATTGTTGCCTTCCAAGACGGTCTTGAACAGCCATTCAAGCTTAAAGTGTTTCACGGAATATCAGCTTATTTTTGAAGGTAATTCGTTTTTGGGAAACGATTCCATCTTTACTAGGGAGTGACTCAACCTTGAAACATTTCAACCCTGATTAAGAAGCCAGCGATTTGGTATTGAACAAAGTAGTTGGCGTCTTGACTCACGAAAGAGGCAATCGGGACTTTCCTATCAACATCAGCTTCGAGTTTATTTAAAAGAGAAGGGTGAAATCTTCTTTGAACAAATCGGTTGGATTAACTTTAGACTATCTAACTATAACAGCCTAGTTGTAGTCCCTGTATTGCCATTTGACACCGTATGTAGTACGGAAAACAGTATCTATAAGGTGTCACCAAAGGCGGTAGCTGCATGCGGTACACACAATGGTAGGCAAACATGGGATGTAGTTAACCAGTCAGCCATCTATACAACCATTAGAATGAATGTTAGTTCTTCAACAAAGGGGTTGATTCATTACGCTGTCGGGTATGCAGCCCTGGGATTTCTTTGGGGGCCGCGGTAGCACCCACGGCTAATGTGAGCGCACCTATCATTCTCATCTTCATTTTTGGAGTGCGAATATAGTTAAGGCATCAGCGTAGTTAAACCTTAAGGTGCCAACCAACGAGATGTTTGATAAGGCCAGGGTATGACTACTACCTAGGGGAATATCATTAGGGTGAGAAGGATCCTTCAGGCAGACGACTCTAATGTCAAAAATGAGTCAAGAATTAAAGGGGAGGTGCGATCTGAGACGAAAGCGGATGGACTGAAAGCAGATCGGAAAGAACGAGTTCCAAGAGCAGGAAAAAGGATAATTTACGAGGAAGCTTCCACTATGATAGCGTAGGGCTCTGGTTGTCAGCACCTTTGACGCCTGCGTGCCAGCCTTACCTTAATAATGCCTCTCATGGAAATTGTGAAAAACGCATTTCGCTATTATTGCCATAGTCCAGCCCGAAGCATACAATATTAACTTAGGTGGGAATGCAATTTGTTTTACCCACTGCGTCGCCTAGTTCGAATGGAGATTAGGCACGAGAGAAAATTATTTGAAAAACCCACTGAACATACCTGAGGCTCACTGTGTGAGTGGAAAAGAAAAATTTTGGGGTGGGTTCATGATAAGACTTCTTACCTCTCTTCCAAAAATCAAAGCTTAGGAGGCATAAAGAACACCATTTTTGATGTGCAAGAAAGGTGACTTCTTTCCTTCGAATCGACTTCAATCTTGCCACAAAACCTCCTAAATATTAATGAGTTCAACAACCAATAGTCTTGCTGACATTTAAAAATGGAAGTTGGGTAAGAGGGTATGTCGATGAAGGGCCATTTACAAACCTGGTTTCTATTCAAGAAATCGGTCTTAGCTACATTAGAAGGGATGTTGAATTGACACGAGGCTTTATGAGGTGGAAATACGGAGAAAAAGTGCCATTACTTTTGAAACTAGAGAAAGGCAGAGGTTTCTAGATCTCGCCAACCCAACTGCTTTGTGAAGGAGTAAACGCAGTGATCACATAAGATGAATAAGTGGATTCATTTCACTACTTCAGTGTGCTCAGTTTTAAATAGATGCTACGAAGTGCTGGCAGCTCTAAAACGAATGACTGTGTTGGCATGTGTGATTGCGACTATCGACGTGTTCTGCACTATCTCCAAGGGGAGCACTAAGATTACATTGATTAAAGAAAAAAATTCATTCACTTCACAAAGAGAGAGAGAGTATTGGACACTTTCTGGGTCTGGCACCACACATACCTCAAAACAAATCGGTTTAAAAGAATGGGGATAGAAGATCCGAATGGGTCTTGATAGCAAACCACCGGTTAAAAAGGATGGACCTAATTCGGTCCCAATATTCCTATTGAGGGAGCTAGTGATAAGCGAAACTAGGAGATTGATGGTGCTTTACTACCTTGCCACACCTGAGTAAACACAAACGGCTGCACAACTTTTAGTAATCAAAGGAGTGGAACAGTGCTCCAGCCCGCTGCAAAACTTCGTCCAGCCCTCAACTTCACAATTCACGATGAATTCCCAACCAAGTTGGTCTTATCCTTTTCGTGCCTGTCTCGAGGGTGCCTTCCTTTCCCAACAACTATCCCTAGGATGGTTGGCTGGCACAAAACTGTAACAAGAGAACGACAATTAAAGAAAGGTGGAAGTAACGTGGCACGGAGGTGGTAAAGTTGATTATACGCAGCACCACTGCCACTATCATCACCATCATCCTGACACCTGTCCAAACTAATGATAGAGGCTATTTGTGAACACAGTGACCAGAGGTATCAGACGTGCTTGACTAGTCAAATTCCCAGTCGGATTAAATAAAAGCCAGAAATGAAGCAGTTATTTAGTATTCGGGACCCCCGGAACATGATAAAGCAGACAATCCCAAACGCAAAGCCTCCGTTCTCCTTCCTTCCCTCCCACCCACATTGCTTATTTCAGTTCCAATCAAGGAACAATGTAGAAGGCTATTTAGGAGGCTAAATACGCTTTAGTAAGGGAGAAGGACAAGGCTGCTTTCCACTCCCCAGTAAAGCGGGTAGCTTTCCTATTCAGTTGCGTCTCAGTTCACAATTAAGGCTTGCCTTCCACCTCCACCAGCCTTTGTGGGCAGAAATAGTAGCCCACAAATCTTAAGCAGGTAAGCGGATAATTAAGGTGATTGCTGTTCTGAAGACTAGTGGCTTTAAGCTCCACACCTGTAATTATGTTTTAGTCTTAGTCGATTTACTCGATTTAATAGCGATTGTAGAAAGTAAAGTAATTGAACATTACTTATTTAACTAGTATACTATCAATGTCGGTGTTATGATGTTCTGAAAGCCCACCAACCTCTCCCGCAGACGACTGGGTGAACACCCTACAAAGGGACAATAAGCCCGATTTCGCCTGGTAAATACTACGCCAAAACAAAACAGTCAAAAGGCGTTCATTATAGATGCCTGAATCCATTGCAACATCAGAGCACAGTTACTGAACCTGCTTCGAGTTTTGGCAACCACCCCAACCTTGGTCATGGGTGCAGCGTAGTGACTAGTAATAAGGTTTCGGTACAGAACTGCCCAAGAGATCTGGAATCGAAAAAGATTACACAAGGACTTGACACTTCTCTACTTACTAAAAACGAGAGCAGCCCGGCCAGCATAAGAAAAAATACCGTGGACAGCTGCGTGAAGTCTAGGCAAACATACGTAAAGCGATTGTCGCTCATCCTTAAGCAATGCAAAGTAATGATCTACCAAAACCTACGAGATGTCTTGTTGGCGTTGAAGTAGAATGTCTTCTCACTTTTATGAAGAGCCAACGCGTGATTCCCCTTCCTGTCTCTCAAATTTCTTGTGATGGCCGAAAAAGAGGGATGATCACAAGGAGCGTCGAAAACGATGCTCAAAATAAGAGAGGAGTACCTAACTAAATAAATTAAGCCTTTTTCCAAACTCTAACCTACTATTTTCTCAGCTCTTCAGCACACATCATAATTAACCCACTTCCCGAATGGGCGTGCTTTATAACACCGGCATCAAGGAAAACTCGGGCGATGCATCGGCGCCCAACTAAGCATGAAATGGGCTGGATCGACTACAGTAGTAGATGCACCGATTCTCACATGTGGTGCACAGGTGTGCATTCGTATGCGCCCATAGAAGAGGCACTTCGGCCCAATTGCAACCACACTTACATGATTAATACGCCACACACACATGCACATGCCCCCAGCTAGTCATCTTGGTGAAGGCAAGAAAAATAAGCTAGTCAATGAGAGGACACTTATCGCGCGTGGTTTGTTCGCTATACTCTAATGAAGCTATTTACATCCACACATACCAAGACAAGTAAAGGAATATTTTTGGAAGCAGTAAAGTAGCCGCGGGCGTCTGAAAATGCCCCTCTGACACAAGACTCGAATTACAGCCTACTCATCCCATAACGACAGATAATTTTTGTGAAGAAAAGCAGTCAAGAAGTCGCGCCCTATCTTCTCTAGGACACAAATGAAGAAGGGGAAGTAAAAATGATAGGAAGATTAACAATGAAGGAGAGGTCAAAGGAGGATGAGGATAATTAACAATAATAGCAACAATAATAGGGGTGAAAAAATTGCCGCCGACCCTAATGGAAAACTGCCACTACATACGCGGCAAGTCTTGTGCGCCCTGCTTAGTTATGATCATTTCGATGGAGCGTTGGCAAGCACCTGGTGACTTTCTGAGGAGTAAGCAGACCACCTAGGTCTTATTTGCGACTTTAGAGATAACCCGGTTACATTGAGAAGTGATATATTACCACCTACATTCTGATTCATAATACACTAGTATTGAAGTCACCGTCGTTGGAACCGATTATGCACTTGTGATAGAGAGGGTTTTTCCAGTCTCCCAACTCCTTCGTACATTAAAAATCGGCCTATTATAAATTCGGATGGTCTAAAACGTTTCTAGGCGTACTTCAGAAACTACAAAGATATGGGCATTGGGGACACCAATCCAAAAAAAAGCAACCCTAATTGTGCTAAATAATGTTAAAGTGTTACGGAAGACAAGATGGGTGACTCTCCCGAGACACAAGACAGAATGGCTTCTCAAACTACTTAGGACCAGTAATGTAATAAGGCAAGGCTTTAACAAGTCGAAATTGACCATGCTCGAAGTATCAACGATTTTCAAATGAGAATAGTGCGTCAAAATGATAATTTAAATAATGAATACCTCCTACTGCTGTAACAGATTGAAAGCAGCACAGATATTCAGCATGGCAATACTAGATTGTAGGGGAGGAGAAGAGAATGAAATTAAAAGAAACATTGGGTACTTGATTAAACACGCCTCACTTTTAGGCCAATGCTCATGTGAAAAGCAAACAGGACAAGAAACTGGCCTAACTTTAAACACATCAGGTCAAAAAAATTTAATAACAGTTCGAAATCAGCACTATCAGTAGACTGGAATCTCTCCTCCCCGTGATGAAAAACTACTGTATGATGTTTGCCTACTTCATGATGGTTCAAGAGCGGCGTAATTCAACCTCCATAGGAATGGCATGGAGTTCTATGGATGATGCAACCCGTGCGGTTAGTCCCAGAGACCCTTTATAGACCCATAGTAAATGTCCTTTCATGCCCCTATGAGGTAACGGAAAAATTAGTTACCATGTGCCCCAATAACTACCGCTGATGCGGTCGGTACAGATGTACAGCATTTGGGAGTACCTGAAGGAAACTACACACGAATAAATCAGCTTAGAAACATTCAGGAGGTGCCTAGATAGCTATCCGCAGCTTATTCACGAGGAATAAATCGGAGATGTTAAGCACCTTCACTGCTGCGCCCTAGTAGCAGCACTTCCAAAGACAAGGGACGGAGAATGGACTTACCAGATTATAGTACATGAGAGAAGAGCCATCTGCAAGTAATTTCGCATGAATTAATCACCAAGGCCAGTGGCCCTTCCTTTTGGTTGCCACCACACAAAGTTTTAGCCACCAAGACGGCTTTGCGAATCGAGCACCTGAAAAAATAGCATACTGCCGCCGATACAAGTGGGCTGCCGACCGGCCGATAAACCAGACCATTCACGCGTGCACCCACACTGCACTACCGAGAGTGCACTCGACCTTTGCGCCATCGAAAAGCGATAGAGCAAATGGGTGGAGGATTCGAAATTCAAATTATGGATTTTTTTAAGGGGACAATGAAAACCATGTGAGAGGAGAGGTAATTTGCGCCGTCATCTTCATCTCCGTTCACCTGTGTCAGCACGACTGACACAGAGAGGAGTGATGACCTTCTCAAGACAGCTAATTAGTGTCTAATAGGCCGAGGAAATAATCGGGTCTCAGCTTAACTTAATTAAGGCAATTTAAAAAAAAAGATTGGGTGTGTAGGGTCCCCTCTCTTGTGCTGCATTTTGCGATATAAAAGCAAAGTAGCAGAGGGGAGACAATTTACCGAACGCATGATCAGACGTCTACATTGACCCAAGTTGGACAATGAGATTCACGTTCAAGGCAGAATCCGCCAACTCCACCTTCTCCAATTCTGGGAAGTTTCATCTTTTACTGGGAAGCTACCGCGTATGTGGACATGCATTCCAGTGGAAAAAGAAATTACAAAAATCCCTTTTGGTGTCACCACTACAGCCACCGCCAGACCCCTATGACACGGTCCGTTTGTTCACTTACCAACAGCAAAGGTAAGAAAAGAGCCGCCGCTGTAACGATATTGATTGCTGCTGTACCTGGTCACTATTCATCTGTAGCCGATTCGATTTAAACCAGAGAGACGAACCAAGCCAATATACAAAAACTAACATTCCATGCATACTCGAGTGTGCCTAATAGTCGGACTTGTTCGGGTAACAAAAGAATGTATTGAAAGCCGAGCCTAAGTGATGCAGTACTATTTCTCCATCATGGCTTTTAGACTACCTGTTCAACCTAGTAAAACAAGTGGATGTCCAATGAGGTCATTTGAGGGAGAGGAAGCTTACGAAACAACCTGACTAGGAGGATGGAAGGAGGATTTGAACACCCTGAGTACCTTCCCATTTATAGACAATCAACATAGCCACCTATCAATCAATTGATATACTCACCAAATGTATAAAATCCATATTATCAACTGTCACCGTAGCACGAAATCCAACATAAACTCTTACAACCACCGATAGAGAGAAAGAGTGGGGTTCAAGGTTCAACGATCACCCAGAAGGTCACGTCAAGTGATCTTGAAGTAGAGCCAAGACAAAATGATCCCAAAATTTCAATAATAAATGCGCCAACAAGAGAGCAGAAGAACAGAAAGCAGCTGGATTCACAATTAAACGTTTTTGGAAAGCATATAGAAACACCATAAAAGGTAGACTGGCATCACAACACCACGAGCTGTCGATAAGAGGTGACAGCGGCATCACATAGCACCAGTGGATCAAAACACATCACGCCTGAAGACCGAATGATTATGCAACCACAGCCTCCAACTTTATGGCATGTGGGCGTGAAGAGAGACGGAGTACTTTAAGGAATGGCACGAATTGACCCCAGGGGAGTGGTAGCAGAGTGCGAGGGACTTACAGATGATCTTGACGCTTAAAGGCCTTCTTGCAGACATGGCAGACGTGCTTCCGCTCATCGCTATGCGTCAGCTTATGCTTGGCGATGGCGCTGGAGTTGCTGAACACCTAGAAGGCAGAATAGATGTCCACATGGTTGAATGGAACTTATTCAAATTGTATGCTTAAACTATACAGACTTATTCAGTCTCATGCACCTATACCATTTCTCTCATACAAACTACCAGTTTCCTAGGCCTTATCGCACCTCCAGGGACAACTAGAGCGCTCAACTAAACTGAACCTGTACTGCAGCTAAAAGCTGGTCATGCTGATATACTGACTATTCTAGCCTCCCATCATTTCACTAGTCTCTCAGTTCCTCGTAAAGTTATAATGGGCTTACCTTTGAGAACAAATGAGGTGCCACAAATAAACCACCCTATAATGTAAGGAGAAATGCAGTTGCAATTTAGTGACCCATAGATGGCTGGAGTAAGAGAACACCATTCATCACCGATGTTCTGACTCAAAAAGGCAAGTAGAAACACGTTTTATTCCACCTCTTTGTGACAATCAGTAAAGTGAACACGCGGAAGGGGGGACGTCAATAGTGCAATGAAAGAGAAGAGGCCAGGGGCAGGGAGAGTGATGCAGTGGCTAAGGCGTCGTTAGATAAAGAAAGTCCGCTGATACGCATAAACAATGGATGCAGTGAGTCACACAATGAAGCCACCGTTTATCAACTTGCTGTTGAGACAACTTGGCTTACCGGTGAAAAAATCATGACAAAGAACACGCCCACACAAGTGTGAAACACACAAGCGAAGTATCTTTGTATTGACTACATGCATGCAGGATTCTAGTTTTACTTGATGACATCTTTTACTTTAAAGTCGGATTCCAAAAACACTTAACGATGCAATAACAGAAGAATGGAAATTCACACTATCCCTTCCCATCCTTTAACGCATTCTGTCACAAAAAAGGCAGCGAATAAGTTACGGTAAATCGTACCAGTACCATACAAAGTCCTATAAGTTTAAGACAAAACCTCTACATTTCAATACGTCTCACAAAATGATGAATGACCACAATGGTCTCAGGACTCTGGAAATAAAAACGGTGACTGACCTTTGAGCAAGTGGGACACTTTAGACCGTTGCGAAGACGTCGATTGAGAGAGACCTCACCGGGGTTGGGAGGGATGTTCGGTTGTCTAGACAACGAAGACGAGGATGATGGGGGTGAAGAGAGATGAATTTGCTGGGCGGGATGGTTAGAGGGACTGAAAATGCTTGCTGCGAAGGCGTCCTCATCGGCACGTGAAGTCATTATCTAAGTTTGGTTATGTCACACCTACTACTAGTCACGACAGAACCGGCAATCCTTGTAATCATGCACAAGATACTGCGATTGTCATTGTTACTTCCAATCTGAAATGTGAATCGCAAAAAGAGAACTGACAGCACGGAATGCAAAACACGCGAATACTGACCCGGGTAAGAGAATCAAGGCACTGATTGCGCACAAAATGTGGTAAACCAATGGGGTCCTAGTTAGTGCAACCAAGAAAACCTCAATATGTGTATATACTGAAGTAAGTATGCGGATCGAGTGGTTGATAGTTAATAAACCCAGAAATTTTCGGAGTCAAACTAATTAACTATGGAAGCAAAAATCGCTACGGAAAAACTAATCCCAAAAATGAATAAATACGCGGTCTCAGACGCATTGCAATTCTTACTTCTAGGAAACACCGTGAAGAGGCAGTGAAACTACACCTTACCGAGAAAGACGCACTGAAGCCAACCAGATAACGCACATATTATTAACCTAGAAAAGTGCTCCTACTGCACGATTGGCTACTAGGGGACGAAAAGATACTCAAATGCACAGCGTTCTGAAAGAGAGTGAAATAGCCGCTTACAAAGTGTATTTACACAAATTTTAGCTGCAGTAGAAGTACGAAACTAAATCTGACGCTTCAGATGTGTGATCACTAAAAGGGAGTCAAGTACACTATTATTTTTTAAAAGCTCGTCATCTGTAATATGTTTGAATCTTCTTTGCATTTTCAAAGCGTTAAAAAAACCTTAAGCAAAAAAAGGCAACATAATTTCTTAAGCATGCGATGCGCAGGAAGTCGAAAACAAAAGAAGCAAATATGCGCATTTAATTGGCACACAATCTACATCCTAAAGGATTCAAGTTTATGCCACACCATGTTCATCCCGTATTAACACTAACATTTGCATTCCTATGTATATGCAGCTATTTTTACTACTTTCTTTCAAGTATCGCTTTTGCGTAAGTACAAAATATTTATTCCCTTCGCAAGTTTCAACTTAGTGGTGGCTTATTCCAGTCACTATTATCACAATATAGGACCTTTAATTCTTAGCAAAAAAAAGTTTTACAAGATAAAGTTTTGTCCTTACTTACAAATTTGGGCTGCTCTTTAAGCAGTTTTCAAAACTTTTTCTGACCTAATAACAACCAATCACGCTGCTGCTACTGCCACTTCGCCTTAATAATCCAATCGTTTTTGGAAGTGGTGCCGTGCATACTTGGTCTTGTGTGTATCACTTAGGATGTCGTCCGATGAGGCTGTTCGTGAAGATACGTCTTTGACTTCGCCCTTGAACGATTCCAGCAATAGAGGTAAACTGGCGTTTTCTCCTCTGTCTCTTTCATCTGCTCGTCGCCACACTCGATCCACAAATGAAGAATCCACCAGTCGTCGCCGTCGCAGGCATTCTTCCTCATCTCGTTCAATGTCTCCCATTGTAACCAAGCGATTCAGAAATGTCAGACGCGGAAATGGGACACTCGTCTCGAAGGAGTACGCTAAACGGTCACAACAGTCTTCTTCGCGTTCTGTTTCTCCATTAAAGACACCTGAAGATACCGAAAAATCGGCAGTAAATGATGAAATGCTGAAAGACAAAATGGCAGCTTCTTATCGAGATATCAACATTTTTGGGAAGACTGGTGGTGCCTACATCCCTCCTGCGCGTCTACGCCAAATGCAGGCAAAAATAACTGACAAGTCTTCGGAGGCCTATCAACGCATCGCTTGGGAAGCTCTCAAAAAATCTATCCATGGCCTCATTAACAAAGTCAATATCTCTAACATTGCTCAGGTCGTGCGTCAGCTTCTCTCTGAGAACATTGTTCGTGGTCGAGGTCTGCTAGTTAAGTCTCTAATCACTTCTCAAATGGCGTCGCCAACTTTCACCCACATTTTTGCTGCTTTAATAGCTGTTGTTAACACCAAGCTTCCCCAGGTAATTACAGCCTTACGCATGGATTTGATTTTTCCCACGTAAGTCGAAATCCATCATCTTTTGGTTGCAGGTTGGAGAGCTGCTTTTGAAGCGACTGATAACCGAGTTCCGGAAAGCCTTCCGTCGAAATCAGAAGGATCGTTGCCTGACGACAGCTAGGTTTCTCGCCCACTTAGTGAACCAGAAGGTGGCTGATGAATTGATAGTGTTAGAGCTGCTTACCCTCCTTTTGGAGCAGACCACGGACGACAGTGTCGAGGTATCTGTGGCACTGTTGAAGGAGTGTGGTGCCTTTCTCTCGCGTGCGGCACCCAAGGGTCTGGCCGGGATTTTTGATCACCTAAGGCGCATTCTAAATGAGAGTCAGTGTGACAAACGTATTGCTTATATGATTGAAGTCCTCTTCCAGGTGAGTGTTATTACAAATGCTTCCTCGGTGTGCTGTTTTTCACTTGGGTTTTGCTGATGTTAGTATCCTTTACAACGCAAGTTCTTGTTCATTAGTCAATTGGCTGACAACTGTAGTACCGCTGGTAGCGCCTTAACCTAGTGGTCATTAAGACGGCTCGTCCACGGCAAATTCAAAGTCTGTGGTAGGGTGGTGGTGGTGCTCGCTTTCCTCAGTTGCTTAAAATTGGTTTAGGTCTTTTTTTATTTATCACCATTATCGTACCACTTGTCAGTTACTCAAGATGAAAAATAATTTTCTTCCTCTTCGAATTCTTGGCATTGTTTCTGGATTTCAGTACAGCTTGATGCGACTCTAAAATTCTGTTCACCTTTTCACATAGATCCGTCGTGACGGTTGGAGAGACCATCCCACAGTGCTACCAGAGTTGGATCTGATAGAAGAGGATGATCAGATTACCCACACGCTCTCTCTTCTCGATCAGGTGGATCCCGAAGACGGTTTGAACATCTACCGCTTTGATCCGGACTATGAGGCCAACGAGAAGAAATATGCGGTCATCCGTGCCTCCTTCCTTGGCGACAACAATGATGAAGACGTCAGCTCCGGTTCCGAGTCAAATGACGAAGAGGGCGAAGAAGAAAACGACGTTCAAGGTCCCGGTGAGCAGGAAGGCGGCATGATCATCGACCAGACCGAGACCAATCTCGTTCATCTGCGTCGCACCATTTACCTCATGCTCCAGTCCTCCATCTCTGCCGACGAGGGTGCACATCGCCTGCTGCAGCTGAAAATCAAGCCAGGCGAGGAGTATGAGGTTGCCTCTATGGTGCTCGACTGCTGCGCTCAGACACGCTCCTACGAGACACGCTATGGCAGTCTTGCACAGCGTCTCTGTCGTGTGATGCTCTTCTCCAGTGACAAACCCAAACCTGGGGAGCAGAAGACGGGTTCTGAGATGTCATCGGAGCCTCCGCGAACCTACGTGGCACAGTTTGAGAAGATTTTTGGCGAGCAGTATGCCACTATTCATCGGTTGGAGACGGCAAAGTTGAAAAATGTTGCTATGTTCTTCGCACACCTCCTTTTCACTGATTCAATCTCCTGGGGCGTGTTGGAGTGTGTGAAATTGAATGAGCGAGACACCTCATCATCGGGGAGAATATTTCTCAAGTACCTGTTTCAGGAGCTCTGCTCTTTCATGGGACTGGCAAAGTTGCAGGTACGATTGAGGGATGAGACTCTACAACCCTTTTTTGCTCATCTGCTACCTAGGGACAACCCAAAGGATACGCGATTTGCCATCAACTTTCTTACCACGATTGGTTTGGGTGGATTGACAGTTGATTTGAGGGAGCATTTGCAGTCAACAAGAGCAGTTGGAGAGAAGGTGAAATTGGCTGAGGCTGCGGAAGAGCTTTACAGTTCAAGCTCCTGCTCTTCGTCGTCTGATTCTTCCAGTTCTTCCTGCGATTCATCAGACTCCTCGTCGTCGTCTTCCCCCTCCTCCTCCTCGTCTTCAAGCGAAAGCGACGAGTCGGAGGATAAAAAGTTGCGAAAGAAGGTGGAGAAGGTGAAGAGAAAGGTGGAACGAAGAGAACCGAAAGGACATCGTCATCGCACAGCCTCACCAAAGTCACGTGACAGAAGTAGTAGGAGGGACGAAACCACCGGCAGTGATAGGGATGATGTCGCTGCCAAAAGTACGTCATTCGCACTCGGCTTATCATATGAGATTAGACGCTTGCAAAGAAACGTGATGATGTGCTGTCAAAAAAACTAATTTATTTGATGCCTGCTTATTTCTTGTTCTAATGACCTGCTTTGCTTAAGACCTCCGTAATGTTAGAAGACGCCTTTTCGCTCATCCTACCCTGTCCAATTTTCGGATTTAGAATCGGGAGGAGATCGTAAAAAGTCACTGAAGGATCACGCTGAAAGACGAAGAGGGTCTCTTTCACCACAAGTACTACCACATCGCCGTGATTCTCTGCACCCACCAGAGGCAGGGGAAAAGAGAGGCGGACGATGCAATAGAAATACATCTCCACCCATCGACCATTACCGCCTCAGTCGCCACGATAATTCTCCGTTGAAGGCTTTAGAAGAAAAAGACACACTTCCAAGGTACCAAAGACGAGAGTCCTCCCCCAATGTGGATAAGCGACGTCGATACAACTCCCCATCTCCGGCATCAAAGTATCGTCATCCCTCGCCGCCGTCACCTCCGCTTCTTCACCCCAATGACAACTCTCCTCCCGGATGCCGAAATGCCAATCGTCCGCTCTCCCCTTCGCCCCGACGCAGTCGCTTCGTGTCACCACCGCCTTCACGACGACAACGCGAGGACGACTCGGGAGAGGAAAGACGGAGGCAACGTCAACGCCGAAAAGAGGGCAGACCGGAAAAGGAGGGAGAGGAACGGAGGCTGCGGCGTCGTAGATCGGGTGAAGGACAAAATCGATCAGTTTCCAGGACGCGGGGTGAGAGGATGCTGCGAAATGTTTCTCCACCGTCGTCTGTGCACAATCGATCGCCGTTTCAAGGGCGGGAGGAAAGGCAGTCACCCATTCCTTTTTGCTAAATAGTTACTTGGCTATAACTCCCATTTGTACATTTTTCGATATGCATCTAGTGCTCTCCTGACCTCATTTAACTATCACCGCTTATGCGGATTCTACTTTCAACGGCCTGGATTGTTTGTAAGTAAAAGAATTGATAAGTTATTTGATTTCGTTTCATTGGCTAGCTGAGAAGGAAATGGGTGGACAGCAGCTTTATGCTGTCAAAGATTTCGCTCATGGAGTTTGCTTATTTTTCGCATCGTGGGAATAAGTTATTGGATCCAAATTGCTACGGTGTTGGATGCACGAGTGAAGCCGTTGGATGCACTGGTTTGAAAGGAGTCGAGAAGAGTGACTGTGTCTACGCAGAATCGAACTACTAGATATAAGCCACAGGACATGTAGTGCACATGGTCAAGCTAGCACTTTGTCAGCACTCCACTGTGGTCCAAAACCAAACGGTGCTGGTAAAACGTGGGCCAGATAAGTGGTCGTGTAGATTTATACGATTCAGTGGAGGAAGTGCTTAGCCGTTATGTCGTGTCAAACATCCGCCC